ATTGATCCTATGATTCACTTTCTTTCTGCTCTATTGCCCGGTTAGACAACTTTAGGATTTTATGCTTCCCTCATTTAGGGTAATTGATACTCTGATGGAATTACTGGTGAGATACCGCTTTGGTGATAATAGGTGCATGACAAGGAAAAGTGCACCTTTGCATATCATTAGCCACTTCTAAACAGCTTAAGATTCTGGGACATGCCGTTTTCCAAATCTTGCACTTTCACATACTTCAAGAGATAGATTGATGTACTTGTGTAACATGTACAGTTGAATAAAATAGAGTAATCAATTTTTAATCTTTTAATGCATGCCTTGTTGTGTAGACAAATGTAAATATCCAAGCTTTTAGAACAGCAGTCCACTAATAAGCTGAAAATTCCATAAGCTGTCCCCCCTCTCTCGTCCTCTTTTAGTGGAAAGTATTTGATTTGTAGCAGCTCTGAAAACTGATGGATGCAGCACTTTTGGCTAATTGCATTTTTTCTTTTATTCATGCAGCTTCCTAGGAACTGGATGCATTTACATTTCTTGCGGGCAATTGGGACTGCAATGTCCATGAGAGCAGGTATAGCAGCTGATGCTGCGGCAGCTTTACTTTTCCGAATACTCTCACAGCCTGCATTGCTTTTCCCTCCACTAAGACAAGTTGATGGAGTTGAAGTTCAGCATGAGCCTTTGGGTGGTTACATCTCAAGCTACAAGAAACAGGTACCAGTTAATAACTTTTTGTATTCAGGTTTTTATCCTTCAGCTGCTAAAATGCACTTTGATCTAGTTTCTTTTTTGTTGACGCTCCTTTTAATCATATTTTTTTTGTTCAACGAATAAGTACTAATTGAACCTAAATGCTACCTCAAAAATACTATTGATCAGATCGAACTTCCTGCCGCGGAAGCTACAATTGAAGCTACTGCCCAAGGGATTGCTTCTATGCTCTGTGCCCATGGGCCTGAGGTTGAATGGAGAATTTGTACCATATGGGAAGCTGCCTATGGCCTCATTCCTTTAAGTTCCTCTGCAGTTGACCTTCCTGAGATTATTGTTGCCACTCCATTACAACCTCCGATTTTATCGTGGAATCTGTATATACCCCTCCTCAAGGTCTTGGAGTATCTTCCTCGCGGAAGTCCTTCTGAGGCATGTCTTATGAAGATATTTGTTGCCACTGTTGAAGCGATTCTTCAGAGAACATTTCCGTCTGAGTCCTCTAGAGAGCAAAACCGGAAAACAAGGTACCTTTTTGGTATGGGGCCGGCCTCAAAAAACCTGGCTGTTGCAGAGCTGCGTACAATGGTTCATTCACTATTCTTAGAATCATGTGCCTCAGTAGAGCTTGCTTCACGTCTACTTTTTGTTGTGTTAACTGTATGTGTCAGTCATGAAGCGCAGTCCAATGGTAGCAAGAAAGCAAGAGTTGATGAAAGCTTCCCACCAAATCAGAGCATTGAAGAATCAGATAAGATGTCTGATATGCAGAGAGACAGAACTAAAACGACCAAAAAACAAGGGCCAGTAGCAGCATTTGATTCTTATGTTCTGGCTGCTGTTTGTGCTCTTGCATGTGAGCTTCAGTTGTTCCCTTTGATTTCAAAGGGGGTTAATCATAGTCACTCTAAAAATGCAAAAAATGTAGCAAAGCCTGCGAAAGTAAATGTATGCACTACTGAGTTTCGAAGTAGCGTAGACTCGGCAGTTTGTCACACACGCAGAATATTATCAATCTTGGAAGCACTTTTTTTGCTGAAGCCATCTACAATTGGCACTTCGTGGAGTTACAGTTCAAATGAGATAGTTGCAGCAGCTATGGTTGCCGCTCATGTTTCTGAGTTATTTAGATGGTCGAAAGCTTGCATGCATGCGCTGTCTGTCTTGATGCGCTGTAAGTGGGACACTGAAATTTGCTCCAGGGCATCATCACTATACAACCTTATTGATTTCCACAGCAAGGCTGTTGCATCTATTGTTAACAAGGCTGAACCATTGGAAGCACGCTTAATGCAAGTTCCAATTTGGAGGGATTCCTTTGTGTGTTTTGAAGGCAGAAAACTCAGTCAAGGTGGAAACAGTAGATGCTCCATTGTCGGGCAGCCATCTGCCTTGCATTGTGAGGATTCTTCACATTCAGAATCTAAACGAAAATCTGTTGGTGCATCACGTTCAAATGAGGGGTCCGGAAATACCTTTGGTAAAGGTGTTGCAAGTTTGCCATTAGATGCTTCGGATTTGGCCAACTTTCTTACCATGGACAGGCATATAGGATTTAATTGCAGTGCTCAGGTTCTTCTAAGATCAGTACTCGCAGAGAAACAAGAGCTCTGTTTCTCCGTTGTCTCGCTGTTGTGGTACAAGTTAATTGCAGCTCCTGAAACCCAACCTTCTGCAGAAAGCACTTCTGCTCAACAAGGATGGCGGCAGGTAATATTATATTTCTTGTGTTACTTTGCATCACCGTCATGATAATCTTCTCCAATATTATTAGCAGGTTCCGCGTTTCTATATTCTGCTCTGAATCAGTAATTTCATTAGATACATTTGTACTACACTTTATTTGATATATTGTTGCCATTTTTCCGTTATGTATAATGTTTGACATGTAATTTTTATTTCATTTTTCTAACTTTAGGTCGTTGATGCATTATGCAATGTTGTGTCAGCAACACCCAAAAAAGCAGCCACAGCAATCGTTCTTCAGGTCTGAACTTTGTCTCACTTGTACACTACATGATTTTCTATTTATTTTTTCAGGTGAGACCATGTACGAGTTCATTGATATATACTGAAAACTAGATCTTTTATTGCAAAGTAACGAAGTCCAAAAACATTGTTTTCTTGTTAATTCGTTTTCAACACCTGATTTTGGAAGAGTTGTTCTTGGCTGGTGTCAAAACAGTGGCTTTCTTATTTGGCATTATTTTCCTGGCATAGTTGTAAATCAGTTGGATTACCATTCTCCATTATTAGTTCTGGGGTGGCTTCATTGGTTTAGTTGGTTTCATGACCTTGTACTCTTTTCAGGCGGAGAGGGAACTGCAGCCTTGGATTGCCAAAGATGATGATCAAGGTCAGAAGATGTGGCGAATCAACCAGCGGATTGTGAAATTGATTGTGGAGTTGATGAGAATTCATGATAGCCCAGAGTCATTGGTAATTTTGTCAAGTGCCTCAGATCTACTCTTGCGTGCCACCGATGGGATGCTTGTTGATGGAGAAGCTTGCACCTTACCTCAACTGGAGGTAAACATGCGACTACATTGATGTTTGTGGCCTATGACTTGTGTTAACTAATCTGAGACATGAATTTTAGTATCTTTTTATCTTTTCTTTTTGGAAACTGTATGAACACTGCATATCCGAACTGAAGGTGGATTTCAGCACCCGGCAGTCACATGATCTCCCATCCTTACATTTCAAAACATAAACCATCCTCAACTAGTGTCCTTATCTCATATAAAGCTTTTTTGAGTTGTATATTCGTTATAAGTACACATAAGATTGCCGAAGGCTCAAAATGTTAAAAGAGAAACAAATTGATAATCTAAACGTGGTGAAGCTAGACCCAAGATTCCAAAGAAATCGGGTTTGGCAAGTGAATTTCTTTTACAATTTTCTCCCATATAATCTCATTTTCTTCTTTGATAATCATATCTTCTATCAGTTTCAACTCTGGGCAGCCCTCAAGTTTTTGGGTTCATAAACTAGAATCAAATCTCTTTCTTGTAGCATGAAAAGCTGACATATTACTGGGTCATCTTTTGCAACTCTTTTACATTTTAGCTTCATTTGGATCCTCATTTACAACTATATGTGTCTGATACTATCTTCATCAGTTATCTCGTGCTCTTTACCTGTTTTCCACATAACCTAGAGTGAGTCCATATAAATTTTCAATTTCGTTAACCTTCAATGTCTTAAAGCATCAATCTGTTTATAAATGGGCAGCTACTGGAAGCAACAGCTAGAGCAATTCAGCCTATGCTAGAGTGGGGAGAATCTGGGCTGGCGGTCTCTGATGGCCTTTCAAACCTGTTAAAGGTAAGTACCCACCCCTAGTTGATACAATCACTGTTATGTTCCTAGGACATTTGAGAAGTATTTCATTTTAATGTTTAAGAGAAACAATTAGTTATGTGATCTATCTGCTTCGATAAATGCAGTGTCGTCTGCCAGCTACCATCCGCTGCCTTTCTCATCCTAGTGCACATGTTCGTGCTCTGAGCACATCAGTTCTCCGCGATATCTTGCAAGCCAGTTCAATAAGACCTAACCCTAATCCGGTGGAGATAAATGGTATCCATGGTCCGTCGTACAAGTATTTTAACTTAGATGTCATTGACTGGCAAGCTGATATTGAAAAGTGCTTGACATGGGAAGCACATAGCAGACTTGCGACTGGAATGCATATTAAATTTCTTGATACTGCCGCAAAAGAACTGGGTTGTAGTATATCCATATGATATCGATTAGCTTCTTCCAGTGTACAATTTTTTTCATGTGAGACATACGCAACAGATGCTTGCATATTTGTTCCCTTTAAAGAGATTATGAGTTTGCAGGTAAGTGGATATACATTTTGTTCTTGTGGATATAAAGGTGTCTATATTGTCAAAATTTTCTTTTCCGACGAGACGTTACGGTCCCTAATGGAAAGAGATTTGTGTAAATGAGAGTTCAGACAAGCTGACTGAGCCCTATCTTGTGTTTGAACTGTTATCCAAGTCTTCAATCTTGTGTTTGAACTGTTATCCAAGTCTTCATGTCAGATTTTTAGTCTCATCTAGACTTTTAACACGGGACCTCGGATGCAAGGGCGAATGTTTTAACTTGAGTTTGAAAAAGCCTTTCGCTCGACACAACCATTTTTGTTGAGGGGTGTAGGGGCAACCGCTGATAATCCGAAAAGTTACAGTTCAGTATCTTATACACGCTTACTGACATAGTTAAGAATGAACAATAATCCGACAAGCACTTTCTGATTCAAAAGAAAGCCGAAAATATAGAGAGCCAGAAAAATAATTACTATGATTATGATGATGTAAACAAAAAAAATTGAAATTTGGAAGAGTTTTCCCCTATCTTGATGTATCCATTCCACTCCCCCAATGGGAGTGAATAGGAGGGCAAGAAATAGAAATTACGAGGATAAATAATTCGAAGAAATTTTGGTTTTCTAGCCTCAAATCATTTAAGAATTTCCTGAAATCTTCCATTTCTACTTAGACTGAATGAATTTAAACTTTTCCATCATGTTCAGTAGATTCAGGAAAACCACCGTGTTTTTGTTGCCTGCTCGTAGGGAGAGAGTGGCTCCAACGCTCCTTTCCACCGGGCTTAGACGAGGCATTTCCATACCAAATCATCCCAACCACAGCTATGATCATTCCCAATACAACATGCAGATTCAGACCCTCCTTCCCAAAGAAAAAGAACCCCATGATCAAAACAAGAATTGTCTTCATATGCCCCAGTACTTGGAAGGACACAGCGGTAAATCTTCCAATGCAGATGAACTGGCTGAGATTGGTGCCCTACTGCGATTGTGCATGAGAGAATTATAAACATCTGCGGACATAAGGGTTCAGAAAAAACTGTGAACGACCTTTCTGTAAAATTGAAACATCTTAAAACTCGAAGACAAATGAATTAGTTAATCACTTTGAAATTGTACAGATTAAAGTAAGCAAAGCTCTATATTAACAATATCATATGCTAATAGTTTTTCAAGCTCATGTTACTAATTCAAATATTCCCATCATGACTGAGGTGCAGAAGAAAACATGGAAATGCTACCAATGCCTGTGTAGCTCGATGCTGGATTTCAGCTGTAAAATGCATATTAATGCACTATAAATTATGGTGCTTGTAATGATGCTTGTAATGCTAAGGTTGAGTCTGGGTACAGTCAGCTTAAGATGATTATGGTAATCACAAAACAATAATAAATTGGATTACACTTACCAGAGATCCAAAGTTATAGTCATAGGCATCAACCCTCTTGTTTGTCAGCCAATAGTCAAGGAAGGGGCCGAGTAACAGAAGAGATCCAGCCTGGGCCGGAGCAGTATGTCCCAACAGACTGAAAGAACCGAGTGAATATTTCCGTTGAAGAAAGTGCACATACTGCAATTAAAAATTGATATAACTTTTAGATAAGCAAATATGAAAATTTAAGAGCTTGACAAAATTGCAGCTTGTGCCGAGGAATGGAGAACTTACATACTGTTGTAGCGAAGTGCTCCATACAGCTATAAAGGCAGCAATGAAGCCTTTGGCATTGACACTCACATCAGTGACAGTGCAAACACCAACTCCCAAGAGAACAATTCCTATGCTCAACTTTGTATCTCTTGAGTAACGGATCTTGTCGAGAACAACTTCCAGTAAACATGACACAGGGATCATACTCAGCTTTGCTATCTGTCAATTATATTAGAGAAATGTAACTCCCAAATATATTGCACTATTTAGTAGCTAAACCCAAGGTGCATCAAAACCCTAGCTATACCTGATAAAATCCCACCGAGTTCCACATTAGACTCACGTTCATTCCAACAATAGAGAAGTTAGCAAAGACCATAAATTTTAGAAGCTCAGAGACAGGTAGATGCGAGGGTTGAATGTATCCCAGCCACCTTAGAACAAGTGTCATCAAAGTTGTCGTAGCAAAATGCAAACCAGTTAATGTTGTAGCTGCAAATTGTTTCAATTTAGATTTGTATAAATACAAGTTAAAAATAGCATGCTTATGGCTATACAAGTTTTCTAGATTCATATCTCCTATAAACAAGTAAACAGAAAAAAAACCAATTGATAAAGAAAGTTTAAGGTTATAGAAGATTTCTAAATGTGTATCAATGAAATAAAAAACAAATATATTAATGAATTCAAGGTCAAAAATGCAAAAAATGCCATTACTCCCTACTTTTCCCACAACCATTACTGTCTCAAGGTCAGCCGAAAATTAAATCTAGCTACAGCTTTTCTCCAGGTAAAATATTGGATCTTGTGAGTGATAGTATTCACTACACCTTATGTCACAAAGAATTGACTGGCTACTACCAAAAGAAAATCAAATAGCAGGGTCATTATCTGCCTTGCACATGATATTTCCTATGCTCCCCTTGCCCTTTCTAGTCCTACCACTCAACCCATAACCCTCCCCAATATTCTATCCACTTCCAATGCTCTGCTATCATGAGTGTTGACTGTTGACTTATAACTTCGGTCTCAAGAGATTAACTCATAATTAGTATGAAATCTTAAACAAAAAAAAAAAAAAAAATTAAAGCATTTATGACAGCACACTTACAAAACATACATCACAAGACTTTTGTATATGCGGTCAAATTTCCTGGAAATTTGATGCACAAAATTACCTTGTATTATAATCTGGCCACCTATTTGTGCAACAAGAAAAGCCATGATAACATGTTTGTCACTTTGCTCTATAACCATCATAGTTTGACGTCCAAAAGGGAACAATGCCGCGTTCATTTTCTTACTAATTTTAATAAAGTTTGCAGAAGAAATGCAAGAAAGGTTTTACTTTAATCCTAAGCTTTAGTTTTTAAACGATATAGTTGTCCAAAACCTGAACTCATATCAGAAACAACCCAACCCGACTCAAATCAAATCAATCATTAAAAAGAAAGAAGAATAATTTACCAAAACTGAAGCCATATGTAGCCATCAGAGCTTTATTGACAATTATAATCCCAACAGAAGTTACAACATTGAACATCCATGCAGCTACATCTCCTGCCTTCTTATCAGCTTTGCTAGTGGGAGCCATTTGTTTATATACTCCGTTCAACCAACCACTGCAGAGTCTTTACCCCTCAGCCTCCAAAAAGGCATCCATCTACACCCATATGAAGCCGGACGGTTTCACCTGCTTTAGGAACAAAAAACTCTAAACTGAAAAAATTGAAACAAATAAGAAACTGAAATTCTGCAATAAATTAAAACTGTTTAATTTCAAGTATGATTCAACACATTGATGCCAAAAATAATAAATAATCATTTCCATTATACATATGTTTATAATATAAAACAACTCAACTTAAAAATCACAATCATGCTTGTAAAAGCTCCAAACAAACTAATATAATAACTTTGTCTGCCTTACAAAAAGACTAAACATCTGATCACAGAGATAAGGAGTCAGTTGTTCGAACACATATCGCTTGCCTTTCCTCGAGTTCAAGCTTACCGAACAGTTAAGTCATTCAATGGAAACACAGAGATGGGTCCTGCTACTACCGCATTCGAAAATACAATTAAATCATCTAGTGCATTCCCATTTCTCTATTCAGTGAGAGAGAAACTGAAAACCATCAGGACTCACAATTCACTGAACTATGGAACTACCAAAACAGCAATGTATCAATTCTTTTGGGTAAAGCCCATTTTTTCAAAAACATAAATATACAAAAAAGTAGTCACCTTTATTCAAATCCACAACAAAATTGCAAATCAACTACATACAGACCCACTGACATTCCAGATCAACCACACAAAAAGCAATCAAATTCCAAGATAGATCTAATCTAACCCACAATCAGATCCCAGAAAACCCAAGAAAAAAAAAAACGAGCCCAATTCAGCGGATCTGGTCGCAAGAGCCATCGATCACAGAGATGCAGTTGCAGAAAAAAGCTATGGAAAAGTAAGCGAGCGGTTCAGAAACAAGAAACGTACCGTGTGGAATTACAATGGGATTGGTTTCTTTGTGTTTTAGTAAACCCAAAGGAGTCCCTCAGATTTGGAGAGAGAGAGAGACAGTCGGTTAGGCAATGAAGAGCTCGTGGAGGTAATGTTGCCGCCAGCTAACTGGAACACGAATTTACGTTTATGCTTTTGCTTTTGCATTTGCAATTACTAATTCTGTGTTTATACACCAAATTTTATACATTAATTTTATTTTTTTGGCACTTTAAAGAAATACTCTTATGTGTGAGAGGTGTTAGGTTTAATTCTTGCTAAAGGTAAATTTGAATCACATTATTGCTAGCTTATTATGAGACTAAACTGGTTCTCTTCCCTTAGTGTAGATGTTATCGTTTGTTAAGAAAAAAAAATATATATATATATATTGTTGTAAACTTTTCTAGTTTAAGTTCAATTGTGTAAATCCTAAATTAGATTTGGTTTTAGTTATACTTTCCTATTACAACTTGTATTCCTTGGGGATGAAGGAATTTCTTCTCTCCTTTTACTACTATAAATAAAGGCACTATGTAGAAGGGATAACAAATACATTCCCCTACAATGATACACACACCTCTCTCACTCTCTCTTCTCCTTGCCGTTCGCTTCCTCACCTTTGTCAGATAAAATATGCTACAACACATTATCAGCATGCTCCTACCGCTACGCTTAGGAATTTGACGTTGAAGTTTTTTCTGCATTAAAGCAATTCATCCATATCATCACGCAATCAGGTTTTATCAAAACAACGGTTTTAATCTCGATATTTTGCAGCCTTGATAGCATGAACATTCACTATAATGCATGACCCAACTTTACATTTTTTGAATTTTAAATTCTACATAAATTGTGTATGCATTATATTCATAATTGTTGAAATTATGTGAATTTGATATTTGCCATGAATTGCATCAAATACTTGTACATGCATTAAAATATTGAATTGCATATGCATCAAATAGAATTATATATGAATTGAATTGAAAAAAAAAAAAATCAAAATCACCACATGGGTTCTTCAAACCCATGACCCTGAGCAAGCATAAAGCATCAAAGCTCCTTTGAAACCGGACGCACATAGCATCCAAACCCAGAAAATCCACATCGCCTGGAGCGAGACCACGACTTTGCCATGCAATTTTCTAATGAAATCCGACATGGTATTGTAATTTTGATTCGATAGCATTGAAATTCCCAAAGAAATTTCATCAAATTTGGGTGAAATTCTAGTTTGAATTTCTTAGGTTTTTTTTTCCCCGATGTCAAGGTACTCTCTCCATCCCCCAAAACTTGCTTGTTGTCGAACCTATGACCTTATTTTTCCCAAAACACGGCCGTATGCAGCGATGGCACTGGCCTTCATCCCCGGTGACTACACCTAGCTCTGGCTGGGGTGGTTTTCTTTTTTGTTTTTGGTTGAAACACTAAGCCCCAAATCTTTGGGCTAACTCAGTCGCAAAAAAAGAATTTAAGAACAGGGCTTGCATGATGCGGCCCAATCCTTGGCTCGACCTAACACCAGCTCTAGGTGCCATGGTGTCTCGGCGTCGTGAGCCGCACCAGATCCCAGCTCTGCTGGCGCATTTATGTTCCCCCGTATCACATCACACATGACGCGACCCCCGTTTGGGCTCGACTCCTTTTATGCAGCTGATCTAAAATATTGGGCCTTCAACCCACTATTAATATTAGGGCTTGATCAGCCTGTGAAAAAAAAAAAAAACAACACAAAATTCTTAGGCCCACCTGTAGTGGGCCTTGTGGATTTTTTTGGGGGCTCACTTGTTGCGGCCCGTTTAGTCCCTCTCCTCCCCGTGGGCCTGAAGCCTGCACCAGAGAAACCCGAGCCCAAGTTTTGGGCCTGGGTCACACGGACCAAAATTTGATCAATCCATCTGTGGGCCTTGGCCTATATTTTTGGGGCCCGAGCTTCAATTGTTTAATATTTTTAAACAATTTGGGTTTTATATTTTTTCACCTACACTTTAAATTTGGCCCGAAGTCCAAATAATTAATTCAATTACAATCATAGACCTGAAGTTCTATTTGCATATTTTTGTTGTGCTTGCTTGTAGGAATATATGAACCTGAAGTTCATAATTATTTTGAAACTTGAAGTTTCTTAAAAACATGCCTTGTTTGAAAACCTGAAGTTTTCAAACATCACCCATGAAAACCTGAAGTTTTTTTTCTTGAAAAATTAAACCGATACATGTCTATTGGAACCTGTATGTTCTACTCATATGTGAATGGATTGATTTTTTCTCCATTACACTAACCACATCTTGTCCATCTATATTGTGATAGGAACATGTTGAATTTGAACAAACTCGACTTCACCGTTTTGGAGGTCTCTGGAAGGAACTACCTCAAGTGGATCTAAGATGTGAAGCTTCATCTCACTGCAAAGAACTTGCGTCCTACCATTGAAGAAAAGACGGACAACCCTGTTGGCGAAGATGAAAAAGACACTGCTATGATCTTCATCCGAAGACATATTCATAACCCCTTGCAAACTGAGTATCTTGCTGAGGAAGATCCACGTGCATTATTAGTCGCTTTGGCTCATCATTTTGATCATCAAAATGACATATTCTTGCCTGAAGCAAGACATGACTGGCAACATTTGCGCTTTTAAGACTTTAAGTTTGTGAGTGAATGTAATTCTAAAGTTTGTTGAATCCGATCACATTTTGTAACGAAACTTTGACCGAAGAGGATCTCCTAGAGAAGACGTATTCGACATTGTCTGCTTCTAATATTGTCTTGCAGCAACAATATAAAGCTTAGAAGTTCACTAAGTTCTTGGATTTGATCTTTGTTTTACTTCTTGCTGAAAAGCAGCATCAGCTGTTGATGAAGAATCATCAAGCTCGACCTATTAGGGCGACTGTTGTGCCTGAAGCACATTATAGCACAAATCAACTCCAAAACGCCAAAAGAGGCGTGGTAGGGGTGGCCATAAGCCATCCCACCAAGGTCAATAGAGTCAAGGTCCATCCAAGGGAGGAAACAAAGCCCAGAAGTGCTCAAACCTTGCTCTTAAGGCCCTAAAATTCAAGAATAAGGGCAAAGCACCTAAAACCATGGATGCGAACATGTGTTATCACTATGGTTCAAAGGACCATTGGTCCTGTATTAGCTGAGCTCCCAAGAAAGTTGTAGATGAATATCATTCTCGTCGTAAGAAGTTTGAATCAAATTTTGTGCAAGTGGACGAACCAGAGACTACAAAGATGGAGGTTTCTAACTTTCAAGAGGATACCACCCCTATGGAAGATTAGAATATTAGACATAAACAATTTTAGTTAGTTAAAATTGGATAATGGGATCGAATTCCACCTAGTGGCCGAACCCCCCTCCCCCTCCCCTTTTTTTTTTGTTGTTTTTGGTTGATTTTTGAACAATTTTCCTTTATGTTTGAATTATTTGTTGGTAATTTGTTTTTGGATATTAAGTTGTCATTCATTACCATCCTTGAATAAATGAAATTATTTTGAATTGATATTCGTTTTTAGAACTTTTATGCATGTGACCGATTCGATTTAATTTTTCATTCTAGGTATGACTAGTGGGAAAGTTAGTTGTCTGGCAAAAAGTGCAACCATGCACACTGTTTTGCGTGAACACATCTATTTCACTAACTTTATACCTAAAAATGCACATCTGACAACCCTCTCAAGCCCATCCAACCTGATAGAAGGATACGGTAAGGCACGTATAATGTTGTCCAATGGTACAATCTTAACCATTGTTGAGGCACTCTATTTTCCACATTTCGGAAGAACGTTGTTAAGTTTCAAGGACATTAGAGATAACAATTACCACACTGAAACTCACGTAGAAAACAGAGTTGAATTTATGTGCATAACTTCTTACGAATATGGCTAGAAGCGTATTCTAGAGAAGATGAAGCGTATCCCGAGTGGTTTGTATACTATGACCATACGCCCCATAGAATGCCACTATGTGACCGGCCCTACTATTGGGACTGCGCACGAAATTACACTTTGGCATGATCATTTGGGAAATCCTGGACGAATAGCGATGCGCCGAATCCTCAAATCATCACATGGGCATCCGTTAACCCGAAGTTTAGGTTCGATCCAAGGAATCACATGTCAAACATGTTCCATAGGAAAACTTATTACTAAGCCTTCTTATGACAAGATTCGTTCGAATCCTCCCATTTTTCTGTAATGGATTCAGGGGGACATTTGTGGACCGATTCCCCTTCCATGTTGACCATTTAGATACTTTATGGTTTTGGTTGTTTCTTCCACACATTGGTCACTTGTGTGTTTGTTGTCCACAAGGAACGCTGCATTCTCCAAATTGTTAGCTTAGGTTATCAAGCTCAGGGTTCACCCCCTGATTATCCGATCAAATCTATTCGATTGGATAATGCTAGAGAATTCACATTTAAAACTTTTGATGACTATTGCATGTCGGTTGGGGTTAAAGTTGAACATCCTGGTACCCCATGTTCACACCCAGAACGGCCCTGATAGATGCTTTCATTAAGCGCTTACAAATGATTGCTCGATCGTTGGTTATACGTACCAAGCTCCCGATCGCTGCTTGGGGCCATGCAATATTACACGCAGCAAAGTTGGTCCGCCTAAGGCTGTTGTGACATAACCATTTAGTGTCATTCAATTGGTTACCAGATACAAACCCGACATATCTCATCTGTGCATTTTTGGTTGTGAGATATATGTGCCGATCTGCAGCCCTTACGTACAAAAATGGAGCCTCAGCGAATATGGGAATCTATGTTGGATATGATTCTTCTTTGATTATTCATTACTTAAAACCTTTGACAGACGATCTGTTTACCACTCGTTTCGTGGCTTGTTACTTGTATGAGACAATCTTCCCGTCGTTAGGGGGAGATAAGAATGTCAACGTTCATGAAGAACGACCCCACTTTGTCTCATTTAGATCCCCGCACCGCTCAGTCTGAAACAGAAGTGCAACGCATATTACATCTCCAGAGCATATTTCAAAGCATGCCATATGTTTTCACCGATTTAGCGCGTGTGACAAGATCACATATTTCAGCTACGAATACACCTGTAGAGATAGATGTACCAAGTGTACGACAGACCTCCCTCCTGGAGGTCTAAGATGCCAATCTTGGTGATCTACGTACATTAACGGCTAGCCAATCATCTGCCTTTACACAAAAGCGTGGCAGACCCCTTAGTTCAAAGGATTCACACCCCCGAAAGAGGAAATCCACGACACAAGGTCCCAAGAGCCTACCGTGAATCTGATTATCGCTTACTCATTCTATCCAACTCATGAAGAAATTCTAGATTATAGAAGCGTCCTTGAATAAACTAATCATTCCCCTGAGAATCGTGAGATTTTGGTCTATTATGCTAGCTTAAATGATGTGTGGCGTAGAAATGAGATGATTGTTGATAATACATTAGCATTTGCAGTAGCCACTGAGTTCATGTTGAGCGATGACATTGAACCGCGTTCCGTTGATGAATGTTGACGTAGAACTGATTGGTCAAACTGAAATAAGTAATCCAAGTCTAACTCGATTCGCTTGTGAAACATAATGTGTTTGGACCTTGTAGCTCCTACTCCTCTACATGTGAAGCCCGTTGGCTAAAATGGGTTTTCGTTCGGAAGTGTAATGAGAAGAACGAAATTGTGCATTATAAAGCTCGTCTTATTGCATAAAGTTTCTCACAACGCCCCGGATTAACGATGACAAAACTTATTCACTCGTTATGGATGTGATTACTTTTCGCTACCTTATCAGTTTGGTAGTTTTCGAAAAACTGAGTATGCAGCTGATGGACGTAGTAACTGCGTATCTTTATGGGATTTTGATATGGAAATTTACATGAAAGTTCCCGAAGGATTTACATTAAGTGGTTCAAATATTTCCAAACCCCGGAACACACTCTCGATTCGGCTGAGGCGTTCATTCTACGATTTGAAATAATCCGGAAGAATGTGTTATAACCATCTGAGTGAGTATTTAACTAGTTAGGGATATGTGAACAACAAACTTTGCCCTTGTGTGTACATTAAGAAGTCACATTCCAGATTTTCGATTGTTGAATTAGATGTCGATGACATGAACCTCATCAGAACTCCTAAAGAGCTCGTAAGAACTGCCTTGCACCTGAAGTCGGAATTTGAGATGAAAGATCTAGGTAAGACTCGATATTGTCTCGATCTTGAGATAGAGCATTGTTCGGATGGAATCTTAGTACATCAATTGAACTACATCGAGAAGGTGTTGCGCCGCTTTAATGCGAAGCTTTCGAGTACTCCTATGGTCATTCGATCGCTAGATGCAAAACGAGATCCCTTCTGTCCGAAGGAGGATGATGAAGATATTTTGGAGCTTGAAGTTCCTTATCTAAGTGTTATAGGCGCTTTATTGTACTTAGCTCAATGCATTAGACCCTGACATCTCATTTGCTGTTAATCTTTTGGCAAGATACAATAATGCACCTACATTTAGACATTGGACTGGCATGAAAGACATCTTCCATTACCTTAAGGGTACTATGGATTTGGGCTTGTTCTATCCCTATGGATCCTCGAATGATGCTGCACCCCTGCTTATCGAGTCAATTCTCGCCTTGTTGGTTATGCCGACGCATGATACGTATCTGATCAGCATAAGGCACGTTCTCAAATGGGTTATGTCTTTACCGTTTAAGGCACCCGCAATCTCTTGGAGGTCAACTAAACTGACCTTAGTTGCCATTTCTTCTAACCATGCTGAAATTCTTGCATTACATGAAACAACTAGGGAATGCTTTTGGTTGAGAGCAGTAGTGGGCCATATTCGAAGCTCATGCGATATTTATCCCGCCATTGATGTCCCGACGACGATCTTTAAAGACAATGCAACATGCATTGAATAACTCAAGAAGGGTAACATCAAAGGAGACAACACCAAGCACATTACGCCGAAGTTCTTCTTTTCACATTAACAACAAGAGCATCAGAAGAATGAAGTCACGCAAATCCGTTCACAAGACAATTTGGCCAACCTCTTCACCAAATCACTGCCGAAGACGACATTTAAGAAACTTGTATGAGTAAACTTTCTAAGTTATAACATTGCTATTTCTCTTTGGAATTATGTCAAACTCAGGGGGAGTATCCTGAAGAATACTTGTTTGATCTTAATGTACTCTTTTTCTCTACGATTAGGAGCATTTTCCCCACTGGGTTCTTGCTACCTAACTAGGTTTTAACGAGGCACCCACCTTGCGCTAGTCATATCTATGATGACGTCTCGTAGATGTTCTTTTGACTTTGCATTTCTCACACATTTTTCCTTAGACTATGGATTTTGTCCCTCCTCGGGTTTTTGTCATAGCCTTAGGGTTTTTAGCGAGACTCATTTACTTATGCAAGTTCCTACCTTATTTTCCTCAGAATCAGTGCCGACGAGTCGACTTCCTCAACTTCTGCATTATGCTAAATCTACCTTGAGTATTTTGTAAACTTTCCTAGTTTAAGTGTGATTGTGTAAATCCTAGATTATATTCGATCTAGTTATCATTTCCTATTACAACTTGTATTCCTTGGGGATGAAGGAATTTCTTCTCTCCTTTTACTACTATAAATAAAGGCACTATGTAGGAGGGAGAACACACACATTCCTGACACACATCTCTCTCACTCTCTCTTCTTCTTGCCGCCGGCCCCTTCACCTTTGTCAGATAAAATAGGCTACAACACACACACACACACACACACACACACACACACACACACACACATATATATATATATATATTTAAGAGTATCACACATGATTTATTTTTGGGTGTTTCTGCAAAAAAGGATTAAAACCTATTTTGGTAGGGCTGATCATTCTTATGTAATTTAGTTTGTTTGATTCAAATTTCATTATTTTCCTTAAAGATGTAACAACTTCTCTGTGTTAGTTGTTGCAAAATTAAGTGAGTGAATGAGGTTGAGTAAAGCTTGACAAAATAAAAAAATGAGGTGTGTAAAGAGTTGGAGATTAGGGTCGAGGCTATGGGCGCATACAAGGGGAAGTGGTAGTGGAGAGAGAATGAATGAGTCTTGAAGTTTTAGACGAAAACTTAGCAAGGATGCCTGCGCGATGTTGCAAGTTTTAAAGCTATATAAAACATGTAAAAGTTTAAAATATGTATATGTATTGTATATGGAAATTTGCATATACTGAAATCTATTTACATAGTATTTACAACCTTATTTATGATAAGGAACAAAATAGATGTTCAAGCGTGGGGTACTATTTACATAGATTTGAAAATTTATTTACAACTTTATTTTCAATGGAGAACAGAATAGTCCAAGGGTAGGGTAATATTTACATACACGAGGAACAAAATAGGTATTAAAGGGTGGGGTTATGGTCTAAAGCATTTCTTAGAGTATTCTTCTTCTCGTTGAGTGTAATGATCACACCTGTCGTACACGCACATGCCTCTATGAATAAGTCCAAGACTCCAACAATGCGTGCAACAAACCAAAGGATTATGATGCATCATTAAATGATAAAAAAAACGTATCCATAAGACAAATATGGTGCCCTAGGTCTAAGGACGATTGCACTATTATAACAATAAAGTTTCTTATTTGTCTTGTAAGTAAAAACTTCCGTATGAGCACTGGCGAAGCCAAGAACAAGGTTATAGTATAGAGAGAGAGTTTTGGTTCTTTAAGCTTAAAAATATTAATCTTTTGAGTTTTTTTTTTTTTTTGAACAAATAATATTATTTACACTAAGGGAAGGGGTGGGCTTAGTCTCAAAATGGGCTAGCAATAATGTGGTTCAAATTCACCTTTTGCAATACTTGAAATAAGACCTCTCACTTACAATTGAAGAGGAATTCCACTAGACATATTCCACTTAGTAAATGAAAATTTTGAATCTTAAAGGTGCTTTTGAGGAAAATAAGAGCTAATAAATGTTAAATAGACTCATCACCTTAACCAGTATTATAATTTAATATTAACAAATTAAAACTCCTATAGTACAAATATGTTGCTTCAAGTTATTACTTTAGTAGTAATTTTAGCTTAGCCCACCCATCGATTAATTTCTAACTACGCCATTGCATATAAGAACTCTTGTTTGGTCGTGTTTAATGAATTCACCCGACATATTTGTGTTGGTCTCCTTGACACCAACGACTCAAAGACCAATCATTCTATCAAGCGAGAAAATATCATAGGCATTGATCTTCGAGGATTGTCAACACTTAGCTAGTTGAAAATTAGAGGATATGACGAACAAACAAAACATAAAACTTTATTAATTTAAACGAAAGAGAAACTAATCTTAATAAGCAAGGAAACAAAAACCTAATTTAATGGGTTGGGCCTAAAACCCAAACAATAAAAATAAACAACTAATATTCCAACAGAGCTAGTATTCCTACGATCAGGATTATGAACATTTATGATATCTGTATGAGAGAAAAAAAAAACTTGAGATTCTAACTTATTGATACTGCATTTTTCTATTATATATTTCTTGAACTTATTATTTAGGGACATTACAAATTGACTAGGTCTTTGTGTAATTTCAACAATGAGAAAGATATCCTTACAATTCAACTAAATCTTAAGAAATCTCTTATAAATCATTGATTTAGAAGAAGAAATTAGAGTCTAGTGTGACTAGATCTTTGTGTAATTTCAACAGCGAAAGAGATATCCTTACAATTCAACTAAACCTTAAGAAACCTCTTATAAATCATTGATTTAGAAGAAGAAATAAGAGTCAGTGTGAGACTCTTTTTAATTTTTTTGCTAAAAAAAAAAGAAGGTCTAGTGTGAGACTTAGTCCATCTCTGATTCCATAAGTATAAATAATATCGTTTGTCCAAAAAAAAAAAAAAAAACAGAAATAAAACGGTGCTCGGAAATAAAGTAAGATTAGAGTGCAAGTAACTGTTGGGATATGGAAGCAATGTTCACGTGGGGCGAATTGCCAAGATAGTAAAGCATGTGTCCTTCCCTCTTCTGAAACGGTGAAACCCCTCTTGTGCTCCATGTCGACGTGATAATTGTTGCAAAAGGAAAACCAAACAAAAAAAGCCCAAACCAAAAGACACCCACACCCATTTGGATTTCCATCCAAGTCCCCCAAATCCCCAAAAATCCCAAATTCCCATATAAATTCGATTCACTCTTCTTCCTCCTCTCTCAATCGATCAATTTCGATTTTCAGAGGACCAGTTTGGCCTCACACGCAAAACCCACAACCTGGTTCTTCTGATAATATCATATCAGAAGAAGAAGGAGATTGTTGGAGACAGAAACTGCCTGCCATGGGGAAGAAGAGAAAGTCGGTGGCCACCAGCCTAGACGAGGTTGATCGAAGCATGTATACCTCCTTCTGCAGCGCCGCTAATTCCCTCTCTCAGCTCTACACTCAGGCCATGAACCACCAAAAACTCTCCTTTCAAGCCGGTGAACGCCACGCCCTTGTATGTCTCTTTCTCTCTCTACCTTCTTTATTTGTTGATTGTTTATCTAATCGCTGATTCCCTCATTGGGTTTTTGGTTCTACATCAGGATCAAATCAAAGTCACAATTTTTTGTTTCCAATTATTGATAGAAATTGGGGTTTCGTGGTTAATTGGTGTATTTCGTTTGGTTGTGAATTGGGTGAATGGTAGTTTTGAGTGAGCATGTCATGTCATTGCCAATAAGGTTGGATGAGAAAGACACCAACTTTTTCTGTATCTGTAGGAATTGTAATGAATATTAATGTTAAACTTGTCGAAAGTGCTTAAGATAATTGGTGGGGATTTCCAATTGTGAAAGGAATTTTTTGTTTGTAATTGGATATTATATTTACATCTTAATAAACCCTAAACATTAGATAACATGAATGATTTTTATCCCTATGTTGACAAAATGATATTTCTTTTACCCTCCAAACACGGCAGTCGGACTTAAAGTCCGGAAATTTGTATGATTCTTACTGCTGTTCTGATGTTGTTTGGCATAAAACTTCGAGTGGGATATGTTTTTGAAAAGTTGGTTTTGCAAAGGGTTTTGTATTCAACGCTCATGACACAAACATATGTACCATTTCCTTTCTCCAACTGATTGATTTGCCGTTCTCTTGCAAATTATGGTGCAAGTCTCTACTCTCTGTTGAGTTGGGCTCCACCATTTTTTGGAGTAAGAGGTTTTTATGTTCCTTTTTCCTTTCTCCCGTAGCCATATTTTTTGTACATTGTTTTGGCTTTTCACATTTTCTTCCTGCGATATACAGGGTTCTTGTGAACTGGCTAAACCAGCCGGATGGTGTGTGACTTTTTTATGAATTTAAAATTTTGTTAAATATATTGTTTCCTTTTAGTTGATTGAATGTGCGAGGTCTCAAACGTTGCTTTATGCTTCCATTTCAAAATGACATGCAATTTTTGTTGCTGGTAGCCAATAGTGCAATTGGTCTACAATGTTTATTAATATCTGTGCATATTCATTCTTGTATAAATTTTTTGCACACATAATTGCCCTATTAATGTGTAAATTTGCTTTAAAGATGGGCTGCATATCTGTTTTCAACATTTCATTGATGAAACTGTGCTGGATGTTTTTTCAGGATAAAATATATCAGTGGATCTGTAGACAACAAGATGGAGGCTCACGAGTTACAACAGTCGATATAGTAAATTATCTTCAGGTTTGTTTACTATTTTCTATGTTTGTTTTCATAAAGGATATATTGTTCCATCTTGTTTGTCTCATAGTGTGATAACCTATCCAGAGGGCAAAAGAACACAGGGATGTTGCGCGCAGAGACATACACACGAAGTTGCTTCTTTGACATTCAAACTTTGTGTAAAACAAAACGGTTCTATCAAACTTAAGTGTGTCTTTCTTTCAGGGATGTTATATATTAGTGACGGCGTTAATTTTTTTAGCAGAGTCCATTAAGCACACACCCTTTGTATCAACTAACTTTTTACGGGTTTATTATATATTTTAAAAAATATTTGCAGTTTATTTGGATGATGTCACTTCCTCTCTTCTGTACATTCTATCCATCCCTCATGTAACATGTTACTAATGCATTCTTGAATCTCATGTTGATTACTTGACATTTGCTCTTTCTAGACTTGATGTACATGCTAAGTATATATCTCGTATATGTTTGTATTTGCCTTCTAGGAGAGCATAGGGTTAGGTGTTACTAGATTAAGACCTTTTATAAGTGCAACATTGTGACCTATGGTTTCATTTCAGATTACCATTGCTGTGGTTCAGCTGAACTTTTGTGAGGGTTTATTTCCATATTTTTCCCAGTTGAAGAATTCCAACCTTCTTTTTTCGCCCAACGGAAGGAATTAATTTCATGGTTGGCATATTCTGTGGAATTGGGCCTGTATCCAGAATTTAACTTTCGAACCTGTTTGAAACTTTAAACATTGCACAGCTTAATGATTCTCCTTTTTTCAAGGGAATACTTTTATACCCTTTGTTAACTAGAAACTAAGGGCTTGTTTGGTAACCATTTGATTTTTAGATTTTACATTTTGTGCTTGAGATATGGGGAAAGTATAAGGAGGAAGGAGGGGTGATGAAGGGTGGAGGAATGATGGTGGGTGAGATGTAGAGAAATGTATAAGAAACAAAAGTATACAGTCCTCTACTCTTCTTCATGTCTTCTTTCTACTGTATACTTCCCCCATATCTCAAGCACAAAAAATAAAAACTAAAATAAAAAACCAAAATGGTTATGAAACGGGCCCTAAGAGTTTGGTTTTCTTAGGTGGTTCTTACCAATCAACATCCATGGAGGAATGTTTCTAAACCTTGGTTTTGTACTGATAAGTTTATTTCTTGTGTGTATGGATCATGCCTGTTTTTTAATAAAGAAATTCATGATATGTAGCAACGGATGTGCTCTTACAATATGTAAAATTTAATAATCTAAACCTCATTTGTACAGCTTACAAATATCTTTCTTATCTCCATGCAGAATGAGTTGGACTATTGTGGGGAGGAGCCATCAATGTCCCCTAGGTTGCCACTCCAACATCAGCATCTGCAGCCCACTGCTCATTTTTCAAACTCAGGTTTCCCAGTTACTTCTGGGTCATCTGGTCCAACAAATACTGGGCAGGGAATTCGTTCTGAACAATGCGATCACCAATCTAAGAATTCAGTCTTCTCAAATGCTTTGTCAAGCCCTGTTCGCCAGAGTCTTCAGCACTATCACATTTCTCAAGATGGATATTATCCAGGAGCAGGTCTGCCGTCTGGAAATGGAGCCCGAAACAGTGAACCTAGCTTTCTCCACCCAAACCGGGATGCTAATCCTCCAAGTTCTAATGATACCTCGATGGACATGCATGCGGATAGTCCTGGTCATGATTCTACCTACTGAAAATGTTCAGTTGGTTCATCCAAGTATTTCCCATGGGACGGTGTCAGAAGTCTTTGGAAGAACCCTGACAATACAAAGCTCCTCTCTGGTGCAATTCCATAGGGAAGACGGCACATGGAAGCGGTAATGCAATCAATTTAATTTACTTTTGCTGTCTTGTTTGAGAATGGCTTGGTCTTCTCCATCTTCTGTAAGCATCTTTTTTGTATTGCTTTTTGTTTCGTTTTGTTTTACCAAAAACCGTTGTGTTTCTATTAGGCATTGCTTTTAATGTTGAAAGATTATCTCTGTAAATGTATTGATTCTGCTTTACATGACAATTGAAGATTTCAGTCATTAATTTATAAATTAAGATCATGAACGCATGAAAAATCCTTGTATTCGAACCCGATTCTTCGCTTGCCTCTGTCGAGTGTTATGCAATTGATCCCACCAAGCAGCGACAATTGCTTTGTGATGGAAGGCAATCATCGTCAACATTTTTGTCTCGGGAACTTCCATAACGGCGAATAATCTATCTTCTTCCACCGGCCAATCTCAGAAAACTGACTTTCTGCTTTTAATCATTACCCTTTGCGGAAACTCTATCGTTGTCGGCGAGTAGTGAATAAGAGACATGTCTCCTATTGTAAAATGAATGGCATTCGAGAAGCTCTCATTCAAACAAGGACTTTGTCTGCTCAACCATTTATGGAATCCATTAGTTTGATAGAAATCCCAAAGGGTTATTTGATTAAAGATTGAATTGAGGATTACAATGGAAGCAGCCAATGGCTTAAATAATCTGATTACAACTCCTTGGGACAACTCAAAGGTCATAGGTAATTAAAAACGAACGCAAAAGACATTAATCAGACGACAAACGGAAAGTCCGATTTTTATTATAGAACTTGAAATGTAGCTTGGAAGCCTAAACGGCCTTTGGCAAAAATTCATTATATATCACGACAAAGCTATGAGTTTGAATCATGACGTCGTTCCTTTTCTGAAAATATATCATGGGCACAAATTGGAGCTCAAACGCCAAATTTGCAAATTCGCTGCATCCCTTTGTCTTATGTTGGTCTATTTTCTCTTCTAAGCTATTTGTTCTACATAATGCCCGCTTTGAACGCAGAAACCACATCCTTTGAGGCAACAATTGGAAAGTGCTTTTAAATTACTGAAATCGCTCTTAGAGAAAATGTTTTTAAAATCAATCCTTAGTAAAAATGTTAGTTTATCCTAAAAAAAGCACTTCAATTGTTTACTGCTAGAAGCACATAACTAGTGTTTCTTGCAGGATGCACTTCTTTGATCTTCGTTTCCTTGAATAAAGTGGAATGAGTCATAGTGAACTTGCTAGGTGGATTTGTTCGCTATCTTTTCCTTGAATGGTGACCTACTCATGTTCGTCATATTCATTTGGAGTGCTTCATCTATGGGTACCATGCATTGGAAATTGCGTAGTTGCTTAGTTAAGAGCCTTTCTACTTCCTTCTAGATTTGCCTTTGGTGCTGCTGCCTCAGACGGTGATTTGTAGATCTGTGCTGCTCTTCTCGTAGGTTTGCTCGTCTGTGTCGTGGTTGCAGTACATGTTGTTCGTCTTTAGCTGGTGAGCGTGCTGCTCATGTTTGCGCTTAGCATTGCATGCCAATTGGACTTGAGCTTGAGTATCCTTGAGTTTCTTCTTGTTCCCTGTGTTGCATGTTCTAGTGTGAGATAGGAGAAGCTCCATACGAGCCAAGTTGTGGGTAGACATTGCACCTGCGTTTGGGTCTTGAATGTTTCTTGTCAACGTGTGGACCCAACCATGAGTGTACACTTGCTCGTTGGCCAATCAAGGAATGCACACTTCTTTGCACGCTAAGGAGGGAGAAAATGTTTTCGTAGGGGCTAAGGCGGAAGTGCACACTGCTTGAGCACTCAATTAGTGGCTGGTTGAGTGGCTATTTGTCGGGACACATCAAGAAAGAAATATTGTCATAAACTCTTGTCCTGCTTCATGATACCTCGTCAGGAGCGTGCTGCATTTTCATGTGCTCGAGGAATTAAATCACCAAGGTGGTATACGCGAGTACGTTTGTTAAGTCTATAACCTGCTAGGATAGTTTTGTATTGCCATTTGGAGTAGAGGAGCTCGATTGACATTTCAATGAGTGGTAAAAGTGGAGTGGACGTGGGACACGAAATTTGAGCTGGGATGGGTTAACTCTAAGAGAAAATGGGGTGAAAAAATTTGTGGTTTAGTCGCCAGTTTGCCGGTCAAGTCAGCTGGTCAGGTTTTAGCTGGCTAACCAACGACCGGTTTTCTTTGTGATGGAAGGCAATCTTCTTCAACATTTTTGTCTCGGGAACTTCCATGACAGCGAATAATCTATCTACTTCCACTAACCAATCTCAGAAAACTAACTTTCTGCTTTTATTTGGTACCCTTTGCAAAAACTTTGTCATTGTCGGCGAATAAGGACTTTGTCTGCTCAACCAATTATGGAATCCACCAGTTTGATAGAAATCCTAAGGGTTGTTTGATTAAAGATTGAATTGATGATGAAGCAGCCAATGGCTTAAATAATTTGATCACAACTCCTTGGGACAACTCAAAAGACATTAATCAGACGACAAACTAAAAGTCCGACTTTTATTTTAGAACTTGAAATGTAGCCTGGAAGCCTAAACGACCTCAGATGGAAAAATTTCATTGTATATCACGACAAACGCTATGAGTTTAAACCATGGCGTCATTCCTTTGCCGAAAAGATATCATGGGCACAAATCGGAGCTTGAACGCCAAATTTGCAAATTCACTGCATCCCTTTGTCTTTTGTCGGTTTATTTTCTCTTCTATCCACTAAGCTATTTGTTCTACATAATGCCCGCTTTGAACGCAGAAACCACATCCTTTGAGGCAACAATTGGAAAGTGCTTTTAAATTAATGAAATCGCTTTTAGAGAAAATATTTTTAAAATCAATCCTTAGACCAATTCCAACCCTTGGAGTAAGTCTAAAATTTTTCCTTCTAAATTTAAAATCAATCCTTAGACCAATTCCAAACCTTATTCTAAAATTGGGTTAAGTGTTAAAATCTAAAAAAAACTCAAATTCCCCCCAAGATTTAGCCCAAAAAACTTGGTGGAGCCCAGAGAATATGGCCCACCCACATAGGGCTGTCTGCCCTAATGTTTGATGTGTAACTGAGCCTAACGGCTCTTTTAAGATTTGGCGGCCACAATCAGTTGGGCTGTTGGTTCATCCAACGGTCAACATTCAAATTTTATTTTTTAGTTTTATATTTATATATTTATTGAATCTAACGGTAAAAAAAAAAAAAAAAAAAAAAAAAAATCTAACTACCCAAATTTAAATCCAACGGCTAAAATAATTAAAAAAAATTATTTAACTCAAAATTCACCAAAAAACTCTATAAATACATATGTATTTGTTCAAACATCCATACAAAACTCATTTTTCTTCTATAATTCTTCCAATTTTTCTTTCTACCATATTCCAAAACCATTTATTCCCATTTACGTTCTTTCAATCTCTATCATGTGTTTCATATTCTTCCATAGTGTTTCATGAGTTTCATGTGTCGATTTAGTGATTTTTCAATATTTATCGGAATTTAAATATTTTTAGGTCAAAATGTTCATAAAATTAATTTAGGATAGTCTACATAATTTTTTTTTCTTTAAAAAGTTAAGTTAAAAAAAAAATTATCCTAAATTCATTCTTGAATAATCTGGAGCTAAAATTTAGGCCGGAAGGGTTGGAGCAAAAAAGCTTGTTTTTGGGTTAAAACCTAAATTTTCTAGGCTAAAAATTTTAGGTTTTACTCCAAGGGTTGAAGATGGTCTTAGTAAAAATGCTGGTTTATCCTAAAAAAGCATTTCAATTGTTTCTTGCTGGAAGCATATAACTAGTGTTTCTTGCCGGATGCACTTCTTTGAATCCTCGTTTCCTTGAATAAAGTGGAGTGAGTTATAGTGAACTTGCGAGGTGTATTTGTTCGCTTAATCATTTCCTTGAATGGTGACCTACTCATGTTTGTCATGTCCATTTGGAGTACTTCATCTGTTGGTACCATGCACTGTAAATTGCGCAGTTGCTCAGTTAAGAAACTTTCTACTTCTTTCTGTATTTGCCTTTAGTGGGCATAATGGTGCCCTCCGCTGCCTCAGACAGTGATCTGCAGGTCTACGCTGCTTTTCTCAGAGGTCTGCTCGTCTATGTCGTGGTTGCAGTACACGTTATTCGTCTCTAGCTGGCGAGCGTGCTACTCGTGTTTGCACTTACCATTGCATGCCAGTTTGACTTGAGCTTGAGTATCTTGAGTATCTTTTTGTTCCCTTTGTTGCCTGTTCTAGTGTGACATAGGAAGAGCTTCATGCAAGCCAAGTTGTGAGTGGACATTACACCTGGGTTTAGGTATTGAGTGTTCTTTGTCAAAGTGTGGACCCAACCAGAAGTGTACACTAGCTCGCTGGGCAATCAAGGAATGCATACTTCTCTGCACACTAAGGAGGGAGAAAAAGTTTACGTGGGGGCTAAGGTGGAAATGCACACTGCCTGAACACTCAATTAGTGGCTGGTTAAGTGGCTATATGTCGGGACACATTAAGAAAGAAATATTGTCATCAACTCTTGTCCTACTCCGGGATACGTCATTAGGAGCGCGCTACATCTCGATGTGCTCGAGAAGTTAACTCACCAAGGTGGTCTGCTGCACGAGTGTGTTTATTAGGTCTATAACCTACGGGGATAGTTTTGGATTGCCATTTGGAGTAGAAGAGCTCGATTGACATTTCAATGAGTGGTGAAAGTGGACTGGACATGAGACACAAAATTTGAGCCGGGACGGGTTAACTCTACGAGAAAATGGGGTGAAAAAATTTGTGGTTTAGTTGCCAGTTCTTAGGTCAAGTCATCTGGTCCAGTTTTAGATGGGGAACCAACGACCGATTTGGTTGAACGGGTCTGAAGCTGCAATGCGCATGAGCTTGGTTCAGGCGTTGGGCTTACGTCTGAACTTGCTGCATATAACATCCTACATCGACCAATAGATAGGGGTTGATGTGCCTTATATGTACATGCTCACCTCCATATAGCAAGAGGCCTTTTGGGAACTCACTAGCTTCGGGTTCCATCAGAACTCTGAAGTTAAGCGAGTTTGGGCATGAGCAATCCTAGGATGGGTAACCCACTGGGAAGTTCTCGTCTGAGTTCCCATAAACAAAATTGTAAGGTTGTGGCAGGGGCCCAAAGTGAACAATATCGTGTTATGGCGGAACCGAGACTGGGATGTGATAGAATGGTATCAGAGCCACTCTGCCGTGTGGTGCGAGTGTGCCGACGAGGATGTCGGGCCCTTAAGGGGGGTGGATTGTAACATCCCAAATTGACCAACAGAGAGGGGGTGATGTTCCTTATATGTATATGCCCACCTCCTATAGCACGAGATATTTTGGGAATTTACTGGCTTCGAATTCCTTTGGAACTCTGAACTTAAGTGAGTTTGGGCGAGAGCAATCTCAGGATGGGTGACCCACTGGGAAGTTCTCGTCTGAGTTCCTATAAACAAAATCGTGAGGGTGTGGCTGGGGCCCAAAGCGGACAATATCGTGCTACGGCGGAGCCGAGACTGGGATGTGACACTGTAGGTCGGGCTTGGACCTATTAGACTGCAACAGCAGCTGCAAATCTGCTTTGTAGGCTAGTTGCATTGCGTATTGGGCTTGCATGAATTAGGCTAGTTCGAGGCTGCTATTACAGCTGTTGTTGCTATAGTTTGGGTCTCCATGGCTTGAACAGTAGTTATGGCTATTGTTGTAGCGGTTGCATCTAAGCCTGCAGGAGGAGGTAGCTGTTGAGACTTTGAGGTCCGCCGTGCAGAGCGGCCAACGGGGTCGTAACCAGGGCCTCCCTATTTTCTCCATTCTTCAGTCCATCTTCAGGCATGTAAGGAGTGTCATTCGTCGTGGTTTTGGAATTTCTAACCATATTTTTCTTTCTTTAGGGCACACGAATCAAGGAATTAAAAATTTAGAGACTGTGTGCGTTGGAAAAATTCGGAAAGAATTGCAGTTTCTTTGAGAATTAAATCAAGTTGTCAATCAAAACATCAATTTGTGGTAGCAAAAATCCGCAGTTTTCAGTCTTGATGAAATTGTATCTTCAAAACGATTAAACACCCTTTAATCAAAGACCAAAGCCATGCGCCTAAAGACTTGGGAGGAGTTTTGGCCAATAGATCTAAAGAGATAGAGTTTCGGACTCGATGGCTTAATAAAAGTTCACCAAAAAATTGGTATAGAATGGAGTATTTATAGAGAATAGAGTTGACCACCGGTGATGGATCTTGCACCATGCATCGACTCCCAATTGGCCAAGGTGTGTCATCCGTTGGATGTAGTTGGAAAGTATCATTAAGATGTTGAGATATCTTAAAGATGTTTGAGAATAATCCTTAATGATATATTAAATTAATAATAATATCTAAGACTTATCTTTGGAGAGTTCTTGGTTGGATGTTACCTGTACATCTTTGAATAAAGGAATATGTCTTTTGGTGTGGAAAACTTAAAAGTAGGAATGATTATTAATTCTATCGTTAATTCTCTTGTCCTATCTATCTCCTTGTCATGGGCAAATGAACTTAGAGAAAATGTCGTCAATAGCTCAGATCTGTTGGTGTGAAGCGAACTTGGACTTTGCCAATATAATAAAGGGAGTTTTAACGAAAAGTCTACGATACTGTTCACTTTAACGAAAAACCACATTTTTACATTAAAAAATCAATCCTGGTACTATTCACTTTACCCTTTATTTTGTTCTTATCATTAAAACTCAAAGTTTTCAAACCCTTTTCATTAGTTTTTCTTATAATAAAAGATAATTCTCGTCAATTGTAAATAAAAATTTACTAGTCAGCTTCAACATTTTAAAATTAATTTGAACTCCTAATAATTTGACATACCCTAAAAGTAATTTCAGTTCAAGCAGTCTGAAAATATATTCTATATTTAACATTACTCAGTAAGATACTTACAAATTTCGAGATCAAAATAGCGACGTGCCGACGGATCATAATTCATATACTTTACCAGAAGACAAAAGTGAGTGAAGCAAAATAGTAGAAAAAATAAAAAGAAAAAAGAAAAAAAAGAGAAACAAAGTAATGAATCAGGGCCCGTCGCCATCATAGTGGGAGTCGCTATCCCTATCCACCTTTAAATAATACCAACCATAAATAATCCCACGCCTTTTCCTTTCCTTTTTTATCCTTTCTTTTTTATTCCTCTCTCTCTCTCTCTCTCTCTCTCTCTCCGATTGATCACCGGTTTTTTAGCAACCAGCCGCGATCGAAGAAGTCAGAGCCGCCGATTCGCTGGCCGCCGAACATCTGGAAATCTCTCTGCTTCTTGGATTTCCAACTTCCTCAGGTATTGCTGCTGACTCTCCTCTCCCTTTCTCTTTGATCTGATTTTCTGTTTGTTTCCAGAGAAAATTATGGAACTGAAAAGAAATAAAGTTGTACTCCCTCTGGATTCTTGAAAGAAAAGGTCAAATTTCACTTCAATTGCGCCAATACGTTACATTCTACTCAGTTGCGTGGGAAAATTCGGATTCAGAATTTAAATTTCGTTTGAGGAAATTATACGAAATTTTAATTCCGAATCAAATTGTTGCTTTTTTTATTCTTTTCAAATTTTCAAAAATAGGAACTATAAAATCATCTGACTATTTATAAATATGATACTATTTAGATAAGAGTATTAGTTACTGTTGGTTTAATTTAATGATCGACAGTTAGTAGAGAAAAAAATTAAATGAAATGCTGTGATGGGTAATGTATAACTTTTCTTGCAGAGCTGAAATATTTTTAGTAATTCTGTACTTTACTAGGAACTGCACTGTATGTATGCGATTCTGGGTATTAGTAATTCTCTACTTTCGGGTCAAATGAACATGTTACAGAAGCCTTGTTAACCTTGGTTTATCGAAATTTGGTTTATATTAAGGTTCATATAAGTTGTGAATCTGAAAACTGGCAAAGCTTTGACATTATATGATCTTGAGCAATTGCGTGTTACTTGGTACTTAATCATACTAATTTACATCTTTCTAAGATTTTTGAATGCCTTAGAAGCCTTTAGTTTTGATGAATTTTGTGCTCACAAACATGCATATGTGCATATATCTAGCTATGATCTCTTTCCGGATATTGGTATCTTATACTATCAAGTCGTTAATCAAGAACATGCATTCAAACATGATTCCATGTCATCAACAGTTCGAATTCATAATCCCTTTGTGCGCGTCTGTGTATTTTGTTGGATCATATTATCAGATTGTCAATTAGAATGGCATTTAGATATGAGTGTTTTTGATAGATGGTCTTGATCTTTAGTGTGGCAAGAAAACATGTTAGTATACTTACATGACAACATTACCACGCATATGGTCTCTCTTTAATAAGGATGTCCTCATTTTTAGAGAAGTAAGGAGCATCTATAGCAATGTGCTCTATTGATTTTAAATTTCGAACCATATAATCGTTTAGCCGTTTGATTACCATCATGATTACTTCAGTATTTATCTAGAAGATACTGTTCTTCTATTTGTTTGTCCATAGTTGGATAACTCAATGGTTTCCAAAATGACCTGAAAAATGAGTGGTACAGATCATTGAACCACATTGCATGTCAGGCCCACATGACATCCATATAAATGGGAATCCTTTCTTTGGAAAGGCATTATATATGTGCGCGCGCGCTTGTTGAACACGATCAAGTGCGGAATTCCACCCCTGATCTAGCCTGATATGTGCACTTTTTATAAAAAAAAAAAAAAAAATTGGGAACTGGATTTGTTTCTGTTGGTAAATTGGTAGAATTGCAATGATGCAAATACTGATTATGTTTTACTTTTCTTACAGTGAGTTATTGGTGGATGAAAGTCAGTATTTGGTTCTTCTGAGTAGAGCCACCTGTATAGGAAACACATCTTGGTGACCAAATGAGCAGAACTGATGTTATTTGCAGTAGAAGGAGGAGGGTTCTTCTCATCTTCAGCTGCTGGGTATAGCAAGGGCCTAGCCGTTCTTCTCTTGGGTCAGAAGAAAGAAGATAAACCCATGAGAGTTTCGCCGTGGAATCAGTACCGGTTGGTGGATCAAGAATCTGACACTGACCTCCAGCTGGCTTCCACAAAGAACCGACTTTCCCGCGGCTGCGCTTCCTTTGTCTGCTTTGGTCGCGCTTCCGCCGGGCTCGACACTCCATCTCCTCTTAAAGTGGGCCCTGCCCAACAGCAGGATATCTTGCCTGGATCTCTTGTTTCTGACGAAGGCAAGGATCATACTGCTGATGCTGATGATGACCATTTTGCAAGAAAGGTTGTTGTTAAAAGTAGCCTGAAGAATCCATCCAAAAGAAATCCAGCTTCTGTTGAGAGTGCTAATGAACGTGAAGCATTGAGTGAACCAGGTAGTGATATTCCTGGTCATGCGGAAACGAGGAAAGTGCAGTGGACAGATGTTTGCGGGAGTGAGCTTGTTGAAATCAGGGAATTTGAGCCCAGGTATTTTAAATTTTATATTTAAGTATTATGAATCACAATATTACTAAACACATTTTTATCTAGCCCATTAGTTGAACTTAGAGTAAACTAGCTGCAGGCTCTCCAGAAACTAAGCCTCATTTCTGGGGTTTTAATTTGGTGTTTTCTCCCTAGTACTGGAATATAAGAGTAGAATCACTCTTCATGGACTTTTACATTTCTATTGTTCATTGACATTTCACCTGTATTAAAGTGAGGATACACATATATGAGATGGTGAAATTTAAGGTAGATTTCCAATTAGTGAGGAGAAATATAGATGGTTGCATTATCAGAAGGATGGACGGAATGTATTTGATTGTGGTAGGGATGTACCTCTAGGGTGTTTGGGTGGGGGACTTCCAAATTCCAAGGCATTTTGGCCAAAACTGAAGAAGAAATGGCTCTGAAAAAGTTGGATAAGATTAAAGGAATTAGAAAATGCACTTCATGTGCGTTGCAAGGGCATGTGACAGAATTGTAAATGACTCCTCCAAGTAGTAATTTTCAAATCCCTCGATAATAGTTTTGTAATGCTCATGCGGTACATTTCTAGTCCCTCCTTTCCAACTTTTTGTCATCCATTTTTTCATCAGTATGCCTAACTCCCTTGTAAATTGGAAATTCCTCGTCCAAACAGACCCTAGCGTTGGATAGGATTTCAATTATAGTTTTGTTGTATAGTTCGGAAGTCTAGGTCGATTTATGAATAGGAGCTACCTGCTTGTTGGGTTGTTAATGCTTGGACTTAGGCTACAACTATTTTTTTTTTTTTTTTCATCATCAAGAACGTCCAACTTGGCAAGTTGGGGCTTACCAACCCCCCAACCCATAAATTTGGTTACAAACCTGTACAGGAATTCAACCAAGGTGTTTAAATTGAGATTGTGTTCAGCTATTTTCCCATTTACTTTTTATGGTAGGCTGACGGATGAACTTAGAGCTTCGAGCCCATGATGAGTTGTCGTTAGTCTATTAGGAATTATAGTCTTTAAGAGGATTAATTGTTTTCCCAATTGAAGTTGTTTTTCCAATTGGAGTTGCTTTCTCAATTGGAGAATGATTGATAACTAGATTCCAATTAGGATTAGCGTTCCTTATTGAAGAAGACCTTTATTATGTCTATATAAAGGTGGCAATAGCATTGAAGTAGAGCAAAATAATAAGTTGTATAGCACTCAAGGAGTTAGAGTGAGAGAATAATGTAAGGGGCAAAGTGTGTGCGAGAGAAAAGAAAAGAGATAAGAGTGTATTTCTTGTTCGTTCAGGTTTTTCGTCAAGTCTTTGACCATGAGGCTTGGCAAGATACTTAGTACTCATTATTGATATTGCGAAAAATTGTTGCTGCTGCCCCGTGGACGTAGCCACATAGTCGAACCATGTAAATTCTTGGTGTTATTTGTTTTCGGTTTTAGAGTTTGTTTTTCCCATTCTTAAACGTGATTTTCACAACACTAGGTTGGTAGAGTGGACTGTTTCCCTCTAACGGGATGGAGGGATTTATTTTATCGGAAGGGGCTACCCAAATATCTATTTGCAGTTTGTGGATGTATCTCTTGTACTTTGAGGGAGGACAATAGGTTTTCTGAATTTGGTTTAGATTATTGAATCATAATGCTTGTTATTGTGGTAGGTGTTAAAGTTGGTTTTGGGAAAAGAGTTAGTACAGTGAATCATCTTTTCCAATTTCTTCATACTGTACAGGAATGTGCTATTGTCTTCTCTTGCTTCCTTTTCACCTTCTCGTTTAATCTAGTTGATCCTGAAAAAAAAAGATGGATATTCATGCTTTTGGAGCTTCACTTGTAAATTAGTTTTTCATTTTGTTAACACTTTTCTGACCCATGCTTAGCTTTAATTTGGAACCTAAGTGCACCTATTCAAGTGAATATTTTTGCATGGTTGGTGCCCCATAGGAAACTTAGCACATGCGATTTGCTCCAAAGGAAAAAGTTGTATGGTTGTTATCTCCTCAGTTTGTGCACTTTGCTCAAAGGCGAGTTGAGTGTATTGATCATACCTTTTGCCATTGTCCATTTACTTTGCAAGTTTGCCAAGAGATTTCAGTTCCTTGATATTGGTGACTTGGGCTTAGGTTTATATGAGAAGGCAGTTACGCTTAGGAGAATTGTGGTTTAACAACTTGACCTTTAGAGTTGGCTTGATATGGTCCTTCTTTAACAACTTGACCTTTGGAGTTATAGTGGTTGCCTAATATGGTATCAGAGCTCTTGTTGTAAGAGCTTCTATGATCAGAGCCTGTAATCCTTCATCCCCATTTTTATGTCAATTTGCAACGTACAGGGTGGTGGTCTTTACGTATATGTTGATAATCATTTCGGTTTTAGTTTTCAGATTTCACTATTTGTGCTTGAGATATGAGAGGGATGAGGGAGAGAGGGGCTAAGGAAAGACGAATGAATGAAAATAGAATCATTCTATTCTCGAGCTGATTTTTAGCATCTCAGCATTTTAGGGCCCTTCGGTTCTGCTCGTCCGGTCTAAAAGCAAAATTAAAAAAAACCAGCACTCAACTGCTGGGAAGAAATGACAAAGAAAACAAGCAGCAAGGATCGACTGTCATCAATATGTTCTTGATTATACTTGTTGAATACTTCTATATTAGTTTTTGTCGGATATTTGAGGGTTAATTTTACAATTTGTCATATGTTCTCTGCAAGATGTTTTTCTTGCATTCCGTGCAATCCGGGAAGTATATATTTTTCTGTTTCCTTTTTGTTTCACCTTATTTTGCGTTGTTTCATTTCATTTTTTTCGTACTACATTTAATTTTTGCTGAGATGGAAACGGTGTCATATTGGCAGTGAAATGGACGGATCAGATGATGAGTTCGACAATGGGAATGAAAGAAGTTGTGCATGTGTGGTTATGTAGTTTGGTTTTTACCTGACGATCATTTGGGCTTCTCCTCTCTCTAGATGCAAACATTTCTTCAGGTAACTTACTGCTAACAGAGCTTGTTTGGTTGATACTTATTTCCGGAAGAAGAAAACGGTTTTTGAGTCCATGCAAAACACCACCATAGCAAGGAGTATTATTTGTCACCATGTCCGTCGGAATGAACATTCATGTGTATATCAGGTTGCTGTGGGTTTCAATTTTGTCCCTTTGGGTTTGGAGACATCGTTTCGTTTGTTATTCTTCCTCCTGTGTGACTGCACTGTTCATTATTTTGTCGTAATTAATGTATTATTTTTTGTCCTTCTGATTTGGGTTAATGAATTTTCAGTATTTTCCTATTCTCCAAAAACTAAAACCTTTGAAGAATGACTGATGTTATGCTCTATAGTCCAAGGCACTTTGTTGGATTTTAACCGAGCATTCGTCCCCGTTGCGTATGTTGAGCTAGTAACCTGAGCTAGGAGCATAATTGAAAGAGATTTATTGGTACTCAAGAGACTGCTGGGCGTCTCGCAGAGTGACCCTAACGGGGAACTTTTTGTTTTTTTTTTTTTTGGGGCTTAATCTGTCTTTACCAAAGATCAAGAAGTACACTTCTACTCTGGCTGATAAGGGAAGGCTGCTTTTTTTATTTATTTTTTATTTTTTATTTATTCCGAATCCAGGTTTGACGCTGACTAGATCCTTAGCGAAAGCGCTAAGCAAGCTACCTTATGTAATAAAAACCTAGGAAAAATAACGTCAAATTACGACTCGTGTGTTTGTATGACGAGAGCAAATCAGAGCGACGTAGAGGATTCATTTACGGGTTCAGTTGTGGTGGCTTAGCTTGTGAAGAAAATCATATAGGTTTGTGGGCGTGCGTGTGTTGTTCACGGGTGACAAGATCTACGATTCAAAATGTTTTCATATTAATAAAAAGAATGTTCGGTGACAATCGTTCATTCACGTTAATTACTGAATTCTTATAGCGTTGTCGGGTCTCGGTATTCATACTCAAAATGCATTGTAAGCCTTATATGCATCTAGGCCGGAGTTTGGCCCTTGCTGTTTAATTGCATGTGCGAAGGGTTATTATTGATGGAACATGAAGGAGTGGCTAGAGAGGCTAAGGTGCTCTGGATTGCTGCTAGCGTGATCTTGATCTTCAGTTGAGGGAGCAAGAGAAACTTCTTCTTAAATCATACTTTGATGAGATTCTTGTAGAAGAAAGTTTCTTTAGATAGAAAGCTCATGTGCAATGGCTTAAATCTGGGGACAGAAACTCGTCCTACTTCTTCAAGGTCATGACTAAAAGGAGGAACATAAACAAGATTGTTTCTAATTCAAGGAGTGATGGCACCATTGCTACTAGTGATTGCGACATCAAAAATGAAGCAACCATCTTTTTTGAATCCTTGTTGGGTCAGTCCATTGAGGGTAATCACCATCGGTTAGAGGTTCTGAATAATCTTATCAAGAATCCGCTTTCTTGTGAAATGGCAAATCCCTTATGCTGTGAGGTTACTAGAGATGAAATAAAAAGATGCGTGCTTCTCTATGAATCCCAACAAGGATCCTGGTCCTAATGGTTTTAAAGGAATGTGTTTAAGAAAAACTTGGTTCTGATTAGTGGAGACATTATACGTGCTATTCAATAATTTTTTTTCTTCCAGAAAGCTTCTCAAGGAGTTCAACACAACCATCATCACTTTAGTTCCCAACCTATCTACCATGGGTGATTTCAGGCCTATTTCTTGTTGCAATACTATGTACAATATCATATCCATGGTTCTTGCTAATCGGCTCAAATCTGTTCTTCCTCATATAGCTTTTGTTCATGTTAGGAGGATCAGAGACAATATTCTTTTAGTCCAAGAGTTACTTAGAAACTATCACAAGGATAAGGGGTCTCCTAGGTGTGCTCTCAAAGTTGATCTTATGAAAGCTTATGATATGGTTGAATGGGACTTCATCCTTAGCTCCTTGGTGGCGTTCAACTTCCCTCCTGTCATGATCAATTGGATCCTTTGCTACATCTCGTCCCCCAAATTCTCCATTTATGTGAATGGTGAATTGACAGGATTCCTTGCTAGTAACAGAGGCTTGAGACAAGGGGATTGTGAATGGTGAGTTGACATGATTCTTTGCTAGTAATAGAGGCTTGAGACAAGGGGATCCTTTGTCCCCTTACCTTTTTGTTATTGCTATGAAGGTGCTCTCTTTATTAATTACCTCTAATATAAATGCTAGCCCTTCTTTCAGATACAACTGGAGCTGTGCAGTCCATTTTGCTCATATTTGTTTTGCTGATGACCTCATGTTTTATGGAGGGGATTATCAAGGACTCTTTCATGCAGCTTTAATTCTTTGTCTGGTCTTAAGGCCAACCTAACTAAAAGCTCCATTTTTCTTGCAGGTGTGGATGAAGATGAGCATTCCAGAATTATGCTGCTTTTCAATTTTACCATAGGAATGTTGCCTATTCGCTATCTTGGTGTGCCTCTCATTTCAACAATGCTTAATTTGCAAGATTGCTCCATTCTTATCGAGCGTGTTGAGGCTAGAATTAGAGCTTGGGAGAACAAGGTCCTCTCTTTTACCGGTTGTTTTACAACTTGTTCAATCTGTTCTCTGTAGTATGCAAGTTTTTTGGGCCTAACACCTCATGCTCCCTAAGAAAATTCTCTGCGATATTGAGCAAAAGGTCCGAAAATTCTTATGGTTTGGTAAGCTTTCTGGTCATTGTGTTGCTAAAGTTGCTTGGGATGAAGTGTGTCTTCCTATATCTAAAGGAGGTCTTGGGATTAAAAAATTGATTGACTGGAATAAAGCGCGTATGGTTAGACACATCTAGAACTTGCTTTTTGATGATGGCAATATTTGGTCTGTCTGGGCTAGAATCTATCTTTTGAGAAATATGAACTTTTGGCAGATGAAGATCTCCTAAAATTGCTCGTGGAATTGGAGGAAGCTTCTCCCATTGAGAGATTCTGTTCAGCTTTTCTTTTTCCACAAAATTGGAGATGGTAGGGGAACATTTCTTTGGTATGATAAGTGGCATCCTTTAGGTCCTCTTGTTGTCAATTGGGGTTGCCAAATCATTGCTGATTCCAGGCTTCCAAAAACTGCTTTGGTTTGCAATATTTGGAATAGTTCTAATTAGTGCTGGCCTAATAATTCTTCTCATGAAATGTTGGAAATTCAAATTTCTATGTCTAATATTGTGCCAAATCGTAACTTGGGTGATATGATTTGATGGACACCTTCATCGTCGGGCATTTACTCTTCTGCTTTTGCTTCGAATAGTTTTCAGCAATCCAAGCCTACAGTAGGTTGGTCTAAGCTTGTTTGGTATAATCAAAATATTCCCAAGATGAGCTTCATTCTTTGGTTGGCTATTAAATGCAAGCTTTCTATTATGGATAGAATTTTGACTTTTGCTCCGTCAGTTCCTGTCACTTGCATACTCTGCTCTATTGCTACGGCGTCCCATTGCCACCTCTTCTTCGGATGTCCTTTTACCAATGGTATTTGGTCTTTGGTGCTATTCAAATGTGGTGTCCCTTGGCTAAGGCTCCGTTGGCCTCTTTTTGTCATGTGGGCTACTAGCCGTTGCAAGGGAAAATCTTTATCGTCAATAGTTTTGAAGTTAAGTCTTGTTGCTACAGTGTATTATGTTTGGAGGGAGCGGAACAACCGTAGATTCAAGAACTCATGTCAACCCGCTGCAATGGTTCTCAACTCAATTAAGTCACCATTAGAGTTAGATTGAGTTCTTTGAAAATTGCCCATTCTGCTACTAATGACTCTACTTTATGGGAATGGAATATAACTATGAATAGTTAGTGCTTATTTTTGCTACTTTGATGCAACGTTGTTAGCTTTGCTGTCTGTTTTTCTTATAGCTGCAACTGTTTGTATTTTCAGCTACTCTTTGTTGCTTGTATTTTCTTTTTCTCATCAATATATTTTATTTATCAAAAAAAAAAAAAATTCATGTTTCCATATTTATCCATAAAATAGAGAAATAATAATCGCTCACCTTCTTTCCTCTCCCTATATACTTGTTTAATTCTATATGTTGTTTTCGCTCGATTTATTTATACAGGTCACCATAGATGAGTTTGTACTAAGCGAAAAATGATACATGATAATCATTTTCTCGAAAAATAACAGGACGAATAACTGGCACGTGTCTCTCGGGATTGTATAAACCGTTAGGCGCAAAACTCAAGCCAGCCAACAAACCTGACTAGTCTTGCATCACAAGAGTGACTTTAGAATTAGAATTCGAAGGAAGCCGGGCATCTCCTTTTTCACAAACTTGGCCGCACCTTATCCACAAAAAGCACTTCCGACTCCATCTGCTTCAATGGATAACACAAACAAATCCCAACCCCAAATTCCTCAGAAAGCAAAAGAACACGAAAATGTCAGTGGCATCTTCCTTCCCCTGCATCAAAACCCCACCTGCATCACCATCTTCCTGCTCACATTCTTCTTCTTGTTCCTCAAACCATTCTTTTATGCTCTCTTCTTCCTCTTCAACAAAGCCTTACTATGTCAAGTTCAGCATAAGGAGCTCCCAAACTGAAGGCCCTATCAGAAGACCTGGTGCTCCTTCTCTCCGGGAACCCTCCCGCCCGTCTTCCCCTCTCACACCAATGCCTCCTTCTCCTCCGTCTCCTTCTCCGCCGCCTCAGCAGCCCTCGAAGCCGGAACAGGTTTCTGGGCTGACCATGGTGGAGGACATGAATGCGGTGACCTTGGAGTTCCAGAGGCAGAAGGCTAAGGAGATTCAGGAGTACTTCAAGCAGAAGAAGCTTGAGGAAGCTAACCAGGGTCCTTTTTTTGGCTTTGTCGGCAAGAATGAGATTAGCAATGGCAGGTAAAAGCTTTGGAGTTGGTTTATCTATCAGACCTTTCTTGATTTATGCGTGTCCTCCTTGGGCCGTGTTCGTTCATGTTAATCTTCTATGTATCGTTCAATATGTCCTCTAAAGGGCAGTAGTTCCACTTATGTGTGAAACCAACAAAACGATTAGTGTGCTTGGAATATGTCAAGCGCACGCATTGAGTTGGATTTCTTCTATCCTACTTCTTTGAGCTTTGGCTTCCCTCTTTCGAACTGAACCTGCTAAATCATCGGGTTTGGGTTATATATTAGCACACTTCTTATATTCCCTGCCTCGTCTATTTGTAGTAATGGATGGTGATGTAGTCAGCTTGTTCTTCGAATGATGAAACAATAAGACACCGTACTTCTGTCGTTTTACTTATTCATTAGAATCAACATGCTTTCCCTAACTAGGAGTCGGAATTCAGGTTGTGATCTATGTCTGAGTTTGTCATTTCTTTTCGATCCTCGACCAAACTAGGATTTCCCGAAAGAAAGGAAGGAAATCTGCTTCCTATTTGGGTCTGTGCACTTGTGTGGCATAGTTTAGTTTGTTCATCTGTGATCTTGTTCTCATGTATTTGTGATTTTGGCATTACAGATGGGCAATGTTCGGTTTTGCTGTTGGAATGCTAACAGAGTATGCAACTGGCTCGGACTTTGTTGATCAAGTAAAGATACTTCTCTCCAATTTCGGAATTCTAGATCTGGAATGATACACACCAGCGCGGCGGGGTGTTAAAAGCCTCAATACCTTCTCTTCTCTGGAGCTGGTGCAGATACATTCACTGTTTCACTTGTAACTTTGTTGAGTAATTTGTTTAAATTTCATTTCCGAGAAATACTTGGCCATTGTCGCTGCTGTTTACTTGCAAATTTACAACGTTTACCAGTACTTCAACAGTAGAAAAAGTTCCTCAGAGCTCGTTCGATAACATTTTTGTTTTGTTTTGTTTTCGGGTTGTTTCCTTTTCAAGTAAACAGAGACAAAGGCTAAAAGAATGGGTGGAAGGTCGAGAGGGAGGTCAAGAATTGAAACTAAAACTGAAAACTATCTGAAACTGTTTTTTAACTTTTGTTTTATAAGATTATTCCCTGGATTTTCTTTCCCATCTTCCTCACCTGTATCATCTCCCTTCTCTTTATTGTGATCTTCAATTTGAAAACAAAAACAAAAATGTTATCAAACGTACATTATGCACTTTGTACTAATTCTTTGTTGTCAATATTTTTACACGCAACTCCATTGGCGTGTCATGTGTGTTGGACTGTAAAATCTAAACTAAAAACCCAAAACACAGCCTTCAGGCGCCACTGACTAAGCACCTCAGAGCACATTTTCAATGCTTTCCGTGTCAAGATACATCAAATTGGTGAACTAAAGTCTGCAGCAGTGTTTTGTGATATTTGGAGTCGTTCATGAATGCTCGAAATGCAGGTTGATCATACACATGACGGCAGGATGATCTGAGTAGAAACTCCAATACATAAACTGATTAACGCTATGTCCATTCGTTTTCGCATACGAGTAGGGTTCTCCCCTCCCATTCCCCTCCTCTCGCTCTCTCTTTTTATTCTTCTCTCTCTATAGAGAAGCAACACAAGATGTTGATGTGGCTATAATTGTGAGCGTTCAAATAGGAGGGGACTGGAGGGGAGGGAAAATGGGAGAGAAGAGAATCCGGATCCTTTCACATATGTCCAAACTAAAAAGTACATGTACAGCATCATAAGAACAATGGTAATTGTGCAGTTGAGAGAATCATCAGAGTTCAGATGCCTAGCTACATATTTTACAGAAAAAGAAGAGCATACACAGCTGAAACTAATCAGCTCATCACCCCTAACATTTACTTGACAACTGCATAGATGAGAGTAAACAGAAACAGCACGCAAACGACACGCATTCCCTTTTGCAGATAGAGCATCTTTGCCTCCAGTCTTTCCACCCTAGCCTCCACTCGAGCTATCCGCGCTTCCAACATTGCCAGCCGTGCTCCCCACCTTGTCTCCCCAACATCTACGCCATCTGCGGTGCTCTGTGCATAATCTTCACCCTGCAGAGAATCGTCTTCCCAAGCTTGATAGTTACACATCTCAGCTCAACAGACTAAAATTCCTGGATAACATCATAACATTTTCCAAGTTACATACTTTCACAAAGCTGTCGGTGCAAATCAAGGTAGCCCTAGTGCTTTCAACAACATACGATACAGTGTGATTGATGACGTTTTCTTAATCATTTTTTGACAACACGATATTCTAAACTACCTTAATATGCAGAAGAGTAAACAAACTGGGGGCAAGGAGGCCGGCACTGCCCTAACCAACTAGCCTGACTCACATCTCCAGACGCTTCGGTAAATTCCACAATATCCATAGTGCATCGTAGAAATGATCTACAACTCTAATTTTCTACCTCCATTCTGGGTTTCATAGATTTCCTCCGCTGCGATTCGATTTTCTATCTAATTGCGAAAGACCCACATTTTACACAAGTAAAACAAATTAAAAAAAAAAAACAGATTAAAAATATGCATACCTTTTAGGAGAATCTTGTATTTTCTTGTTTGAGCTGAGGGGCTCGGTGTCACCAATTATTCTCCAGGATTTTGAGGGTTTCTTACCAGTCAAGATTCAGGATTGGGAGAAAAACTGGTCGGGAGACTTGTGATGTCCGCACCCGTCAGTCAGGCAGCCAAACCAAATAGGTATTACTATTGGTTGAGGCCATGGGCCCTGGGCCACTCGCATCTCATCACGTGTCGTCATCAGACCGGCTGGGCTTTATTTTTTTTAAATTACACTTTTTCGTTTTAAGCAGGAAGTTCTGATTTACCATTAACGTGTAGAAATGTTATAATCGAAACTGTTGATTTTCTTTTCGATGAATTGATTGACCTAGAGGTTAGAGATTTTCTTTTTGATGAAAAAATCTCAATTTTTTGTTAATTAAGTCACGTAGCTTGCGCGTGACACATTTTAAAGAATAATACTATCATTTTCTTGCAAAGAAGCACTTAAAATTGCATATAGATTGTGAATCTAATTAGCAATTTATCTTTCAAAGTTAACCACATATGTTATTCTTGTCTAGAAAAATAAGCCTTTAAACTCTTTCATTTTATTTTTTTACAAACGATAGTATTTACAGTAAGAGGGTGGGGGAGTGGATTAAGACTCACAATGAGCTAATAATAATATAGTTCAAATTCACATTTGACAAGAATTGAACATAAGATATCTTACTTACAAGTGAAAAAGAATACCACTAGACCGTAATACAAGGTGACAAGTCTTTAAACTCCTTAAAAGCTGTCAATCTATCCTCCAAAATGTACCATATGCAAATTATGTGACTTAAATTGACAGAAATTTGAATAGAATAGTTTTGCGTTTTATAGTCAGGATGCAATTGACAACCTTTTAAGAAATTTAAAGACTTACTTTTATTTGATAAAATGGTATACTGACTTAATTTATACTTCGAATAATAATTCAAGAACAGAGCAGACGTCTCAACAACTGAAAAAAAATCATAAATTTTTTAATGAAATAATCTTAGTTAAGAAGGAAAGGAGAACAGTAGAGGAAATATTGTCCATGACCAAAACAAAAATTAAAAAGAAATGAAGTAATTGTCACGTGCTTACACGTGGCCATATCGTACTTCCTTCCTCTTTAGGTCATCCGGATTTTCAACCGAGCGTGAAACACAAGGAAAGCAGCCAATCAAGGACAAAACACCTCTATTTTCTCCCGCACAGTATGCCTCCAAATTGCCGTCCATGGACGGCCAAGATTCTCACATATTCGCCTACTAACCCTCCTCCTTTGCTTTCTCATTCTCCGTCTTCTTCCTCCTTTTGCTCTCTCTTCTGCTCTGCTCTGCTCTCCTCTCCTCTGCTCTGCTCTGCAACCCGTTACTCTCAGAAAACAACAGACTGGTCTCGACACACAGGCCAATGGGCTGTGTTCAGGCCAAGCCTCTCACGAACTCCACTCCTGGGGGGCTAGAGAAGCTCAAACTGGATAATGGGTACGTCGCAAATGGTCCCCTTAAAGGTCACAGACGATCAACTGGCCAGTTCCATAGGGACCCCCTTAAGCGGCAGCAGCAGAGGGGTGAGGCCAGAATTTCAAATGTCGAGCCTGGCAGTGACGGAAGCAGCAATGAAAATGCGGCAGCAGCGGTGGTGGATGAGTGGGGGGTGTTGAATGGTGGTAGTGAGGGAGAGAAAGATGATGGGAGTCACAAAGTTTCTCATAAAGTTTTTGTGGATGATGGGGAGATAGTGGATGGATGGCCCAAGTGGCTCACTGATAATATTTCGAGAGAGATTTTGACTGGCTTGGTTCCCAAGAGTGCTGACTCTTACGACAAGCTTGATAAGGTTCGATTCTTTTTGAACTATCGCTTTCAAATTTTTATGTTTTGGATTCATTAGAAGTGTGATATGGATTTTTTCTGTTCCTTCATTAGTGATTGGAATTCGTATTGTTCCGATATATTTTTAGATTCTTGAGTGCTTTTGTGGATGCAATCGAAAGCTAAGGGACCATTTTTCGTTTTTGGTTTTCACTTTTTGTGCTTGCGATATGAGACAAGTGTATGGGGGAAAGGTGAGAGGAGTAAGGGTGATGGGAGATGGAAAGAAATAAAAAAGAATGAATGAAAACAAAATCTTAAAAGTGAAGTATGCGACTAATGGAAAAGTTTGGATCTTCTCTTGTTAAATTTTGGGGTACAAAAATCACTAAAAGTTTAAGAAATAAATTTGGATATAAATTCATTAGTTGGCTGGATTATTGTTGAGAAAAAGGCTGGCATTTGAACCTTTTTTTTTATTTTTTATTTTTTTTATTTTTGTACCCCTGAATTTTTTATGTTGTAGGTTGGCGAAGGAACCTACAGTAATGTGTATAAGGCTCGAGACAGGGACTCTGGAAAAATTGTTGCCTTGAAGAAGGTCCGGTTTGATACATCAGAACCCGAGAGTGTTAAATTTATGGCACGAGAGATCATGTTTTTACGGAAATTGGATCATCCCAATGTGGTCAAGCTTGAAGGATTGGCTACGTCAAGAATGCAGTACAGCATTTATCTTGTTTTTGGTTTCATGGTGTCAGATTTGACAAGAATTATTTCCAGCCCTGAAGGGCTTACTGAACCACAGGTTTAAGCTTGTCCTAACTTGTGGATTCTGAATTTGGATGCTTTGATTCGTTGGACTCTCATTTTCTAACATGAATTATTGATACAGGTCAAGTGCTATATGCATCAACTACTTTCAGGTCTGCAGCATTGTCACGAGAGGGGAATTATACATCGAGACATCAAAGGATCAAACCTATTGATAGATAAAAGTGGAATGCTAAAAATTGCAGATTTTGGGCTTGCAAACTATTATGTTCAAAGCCCTAAGCGCCCACTCACAAACCGAGTTGTGACACTTTGGTACAGAGCTCCTGAGCTACTGTTAGGTTCTACAGATTATGGAGTCGGCATTGATCTTTGGAGTGCTGGTTGTGTCTTGGCTGAAATGTTTACAGGGAGACCACTTCTGCCTGGTAGAACAGAGGTAATTCAATGTTGTGCGTGTGCATGTGTGTTTGTCCAGGCAAGAAGATCAATTATTTGATCTTACTATCGCTGGCTAGTAGCTCACATTCTACTTGCTTTCAGGTTGAGCAACTTCATAGGATTTTCAGGCTTTGTGGCACTCCGTCAGAGGAATACTGGAAAAGATTGAAGCTGTCTACAACTTTTAGACCTCCACGTTCATACAAGCCCAGTCTTCAAGAAGCTTTCAAGGGTTTCCCTATTTCTTCTTTGGGTCTGTTGAGCACTCTTCTTGCTTTAGATCCTGTTTATCGTGGCTCTGCATCTTCGGCTCTCAGAAACGAAGTGAGTACAAATTGAAAGTTTTACTCTTACAATGAAGTGTTTTGTACCAATTTCATGCTATTCAAGTAACTTGTGTCCTTAAGATTGCAACCAGCGTTTTTTCTTCTATTTTCATACGCTTGAGTCTACAATTATGAATAATATACTTTGGTTATAAAACACATCAGTTTGCTGCAAGTTATTTTGCTAAACGTTTATTCTCTGTCTTTTACTTATTGTTCTTAGTATTTTCTTCTCGCTGATAATTTGAGGCGGTACAAAGGTATAAGGCTATCGATCTATGTTCAGAATTGCGAGTTTAAGATATCTCATGCTGAATTGTAATGTACTACTGATCGTCATAAAAATTTCACTTGATGAGTAGAAAAAAGTTGTGCATAATTGAAAAGCATCTCTTTTCAGTTTAGCTTCCACCTCCCCCTACGTTTTAGGAATCCATGACAATAGTATGAATTCTTGTTTTTGGTGTTGAGTTTGTCTTGCAAGTACATGTTTTACTCGTGAGATAATTTGTGAGTATTTTATACTAAAAAGGACTTCTGCTTACAGTTCTTTTTCAGAAGCCCCTTAGCATGTGAACTTTCCGATCTACCTATAATCTACAATGAGGATGAAGAACTGAAATTAGCCAATGAGCAGAAAAAGTAAGTTGATGCTTTCCCTTATTTAAGATAGATGACATAAACATCCTGTTAATTGGTTCAATGTCATTAACCTGGCTTTCTAATTGAATTTGGTCTTCCTTCTGTTCCGTCCACTAACGTCTCTGATGGATTCTGCTTGCACTAACTGTGAAAGTGCAAGAACCTATTCATGCACAAAGCTGTAGATATCACACTGAGTATATCCTCCAATTGTATGGTAGTGTGTGATTTCGAGAGTTATCAGATTAGAGGATGCATGATCCCGGTGTCTGAAACCCATGAGTACACACGCACACATAAGCTATGACAACTAAATAAAAATTTAAACTGAAGTCTTTGACCAGAAAAAAAAAAAGCGATCAAGTAGTTGATCTCGTACTATTTGATCCATGGCTAAAACACTAACCCCTAAATAACCAACATTAAAGTACTCTCGTTAGTGTTTTAACTCTCTCGACATGAGGGATGAGGTGCAAAGTAAGTAAAGGTGAAGAAAGAAGACATTTGATCTAGTCTGCTAAAGGAAAGACTGTCTGTATTCTCATAAAATGGTGGAATTTGAAGGAATGGGATATAGTAGTTATGTACTAACCTGTATGGATCAAAGCCTTGAAACCATTTAGGCATAGTTTTAATAAATCGAATTCGTAATCAACTTAATATTTAGATCTTTTACTGACTGGAATCAGGTAGTAGCTTGTAAAGGGCGGTGCTAATTATTTTCTAAGCCATGATATGTTTGCTTTAATGTACTTGGAAAATGTTTCCTAATTTGAATTTCATTGCTTGAGGTAACTGATTATGTTTCTCCTTTTATCAGGTCTAGGAATTCTAAAGTAAGACGGTCTCGAACACGTGAGCGCCGGAGACAAGATGTATCTGCTGAGAAAGTAAAAGAAACTTGTGCATCTTCCAACCAGGTAAATATAGTTCCTTACTTTCAAATTTCAGGGGACCCTTGTGGTTTTTTTTTTCTTACGGCGCACGAACAATTCACATAATTAACTGAGGCTAGCCAACCTATCATGCATGCAAGTGGAAGGCAAAAGAAAAGGTTCAAATAAAAAGAAAAGAAGGAAGAAGGTACGACAATGTCGGGGAGGAGCCTCGTCTAGCCCTTCTCACCTATACTGTTCGGCACATCTTTCTGATCATGAGACATTAGAGATATGTATATAGGGTCTATATCTTCAATTGGATTACTAAAGATTACGTAATATGTATACAGGGTTTGCAGGAGCAGGAGAAAACTGTTTATTCAAATTTTGAAAGTGAGCCAGGTAGCACTACCAGTAGCAACTCCTCCAGTGCAAACCAGGCAGGCCGGAAGGAAAGCCCGATCTTCTCCCTCTCACCAGTTGAAGGCCTTTCGGGTGCTTCTAAGTACGTCAAGAACCTACCCCCATTACCCAAATCTAAAGCGCGTGCCACCAGCAAAGACAATCAGATTAACAGGTCTGCATCCACTAGAGAGTTCAGAAGGTTCAATCCAAGGGAGCTAGAAGATTATGCTCTTGATGATTAGGCCCCATTGGATGAGCATGTAGAGCTGCTCCGTGTCTTTTTCTTGTAGTCCTTTTCCCTCTATTGAGTATTGACCAACATGAATAATCATGAATTTTTGGTTTCGTGTATAATGCAATGATTTTTTGATTAGGGTTTTGTGTTTAGGGGCTTGATTTAGTTTTCCGGCCAAGATAGCGTACGCTCTGTTCTTTACGGCCAATGACGGCAACGTCTCTGTTGAAACCCGAAAGTTCCTTCATATGGCCGGTAGAATTCTTAGAAGAAGCTATGCGACGACACAGGGTAAAATGGCATTCTCATTAGTCATACAAGTGAAATCTTCCAAGATAAATTGTGAGCTCATGTACTAACTTCCCATGGCATTTTTCTTCCAGCTGTTGGAAGAGATTTGACGTTCGTATTTCTTGTTCCATTAATAATAATAATAAACAAACAATCGCCATTTCTGTGGTGCAAACCGCTATTTGTAGACCTTAGCTGCGGACTGAATATGGTCTGTTTGATCAGATCTGAACGCCTGAAACTAAATCCCTAAAAACAAGCTTAGAGTGAAGCAGTGTCATAAATGACCCGTTGTTAAATTAAAAATGGTACCCAAAAACGGAGGTAGATTCTCTGCTCTCCTTTTCCCATACACTTCCATTATTTCCCTGTTTGTGCAGTTACGGTTAAGTTATGTTTTTTTCTCTTATTATCTTTATAAAAAAATTAATATAAAATATTGACGTGATTTAACCGTGATCGCAAAAACAGGAAGATGATGAAAGTGTATGGAAAGTAGAAGAGCAGAAAATCTGCCCCCAAAAACAGTTTCTCTTCTTAAATTTGTCGTCTCCTTCACCCAAAGCTCTCCCCTCCCGCCAACAATTTCAAAATTCCTTTCCGGTCGAAAACTTCCTACCCGTCCAAAAACTGCCTTCTCGTTCGAAAAATTCCTTCCATTAGTGGTTGTCATCTCCGGCCCGACGTTCGAAAATCATTGGACTTCCACACAACACTTTAGAAACTCAGGCGAATTTGGTTCAAAATTTTTCCAGTGGTTCGGCATAAAGGATGTGGTGTTTACTTCGTTCAAGTCGTGTTCAGAGTCCTTGCACAATATTCAATCCGTAAAGTCAATTTCAAATTTGGCGAGTTTGGAAAATGGAATGCTGGAAAAAGATTTTGTTATTTCTTTTAATTTGATTAAATAATGTAGTGTTAAAAGTTAATTATGTATGTTCGTTGATGAAATTAGTTGAAATTGGTAGCTATATATGAGATTTTGAGAAATTTGGTTGAGAAGTGGATTTATGAAGTTTTGTAGACATGTTGTGTATAGGGCCTATATTGTTCACTTTTGTTTTGTTTGAAGTAATAGCGTTAAGTTAGGATTAATTTGTATTGATGAAATCTTCTGTAATCTTATGTAGGGGTGGGCGTGGTGCGATTCGGTGCGGTTTCGAGTGAAACCACAACTGAAACCGAAACTTTTTGAGGTGTGGTTTAGTGCGGTTTTGAAGCCAACACCGAAATGAAACCAAACCGTTTGGTTTGGTGTGGTGAGGTTTCAAACGGTTTCGGTTCGATTTTTGAAAAAAAAATGTACAATTTAAAATATACACCTATTTAAGTATAAGACGGTCTTATTTTCCTCATATATTAATTAATGAACATGCAGCAAAAACAACAACAACAATGCAGCAAAACTGCCAAAAAAAAAAAAAAAAACTGCAGAAAAACTGCACCTAAACTGCAGAAAAATTGCACCGAAACTGCAGAAATAACGTAGCACCATTACGAGGTAAACCATACAACACATTTATCAATTATAATGGCAGTAAGGATTGAAACTTTTCAAAGAAATGCTTTGTCAAATTGTCAAGAGCCTGAATGTCAACCAGATGTTATCACTTTTAACGTAGCACCATTACGAGGTAAACCATACAACACATTTATCAATTATAATGGCAGTAAGGATTGAAACTTTTCAAAGAAATGCTTTGTCAAATTGTCAAGAGCCTGAATGTCAACCAGATGTTATCATTTTTAACATACTTTTCGATGCTATCTGCAAGCAGAGTAATATCTTCCTTGCCAGGCATATTTCAGTTTCTGTCCATTGTTTTGGAGAAGGAAACCATCTATTGGAAATAATGAGGCTAACTTTTGGTTAAAGTGTTAATGATATATGTGATCCAGCCTTTCATAGGTACTTAAAATTACTACCATTGGCATTATCAATTATACCACACACATAGCAGGTTTCAGATAGCGCAATGTATACCACACACATAGCAGCACAAACGAGTGAAAGAATGGTAGTAAGGATCCACATTGAAAATGCCGAATACTAGCAAGGATACATGCATACAAACCCACGCAACATAACATCACCACTAGTAGGATATATGGTGCGGTTTTGAAAACCCAAAACCGAAACCAAACCGTTTTCTTTGCCGTGGTTCGGTTTCAAAACCGCAACCATTTCAAAACCGCAAAACCAAACCATTCGGTGTGATCCGATTTGATTCGTGTTTCGGTTTCGGTTTTCGGATCCAAGCGCCCACCCTTAATCTTATGAATTAACTTGATATTGCTTAAGTCATGGTGCTCTGTTCAGGCAGATATATAGTTATGAAAACATGTTGACAGTTTGTTAGGGTATATTGTTGAATTTGGTTGTGTTAAAGGTATATTTTGTTGAACTTGGTTGTGTTGAGTGCTTGTAGTGTTATGTGCATTGTTCTAAAAATTACTGCCTAAGCACTAGGCGATTGGTCACCGTTCTGATTAATCATTAGGCATTTTAAGAGTAATAAAGGCACCTAGACCTACTTAGGCGTCTGCTTAGCCCACCTAGACCCAACTAGAACTCTCACTTAGACAGAAAATCAATAACTTTCATTTTGCATTTTATGTTTTTCGATAAATGTAAGAGACTTGTTGAATACTTGAATGAACACTCATTGTATGTTTGTTCCCCATATTTTCAATATGTTCTAATAATTTATAATTTATATGTCAAAATAAAATTTATGTAGCCCAATACAATTATGCATTTTTTTTAAATATAAGAAGACAATTACTTATAATATACATACATACATACATACATACATACATACATACATATATCCTATATATATAACCAAGGTTCTAAAAGACGCTAGGCACTAGACGGGTGGCAAGCTGGGGCTTAGCTCCTAGGTGGACTAACTAGGCAGACTTAAGTAAATTTATAATATCCGCCTAGTTAGTCCACCTAGGAGCTAAGCCCCAACTTGCTGCCCGTCTAGTGCCTAGCGTCTTTTAGAACCTTGGTTATGTGTATAGGATATGGTAGCTCAGGGTGTTGAATTAGCAACCAAAGAAGAAGATTCCTATAAACAACCTATCCCAAGCTCCTTTAAGGCATCCTTCTTTGACCACCTCAAGCATGTGGATCGATTGGCCACTGATGACCAATTGATCCATGAGTTGTCGCTCCGAAGAGTGGCAAATCAAGGGGTCAAAGATCTCGAGGAACTGACCTGTTTATTTAGTTGTGAATTGACCCTATTCACAAAGCAAGACTTTTGCCTCTTTATTAGGCTTCAATACGGTGAACCCCATGATGTAGAGGCTTAGTGGGAAGGCATTAGGCTTATGAGGGAGTATTTTCCTAGGAAATTGGGGTTTGTAGGAGAAAGTAGCAAAAGTAGGAGAGAGAAGAGCAGAGGTAAAACCAAGGCCGTCCCTAATAAAGTCAAGGAAAAAAGATATTTGTGACTTGCGGGAAGCTTGAAAGGGCCTTTAAAAAGTGCAAGTGTGGAGCAAAAAATAATCCAAAAATCATGGAGTTGACACATGGATTATTTCCCAAGAAAAACAAGACTGCCCCTATTAAATGAGTAGGGAGCAACCTCATTCACCACGCGCAACTGAGGTAGAGTAGGCAAAGATCAACGACTGCTCAAGGCACCCCTGCCCGTAGGAAAAGTCGAAAGTATTTATGATAGGATAATCTCTTATTCTTATCATAAATATATTCTTAATCAGAGAAGACCTCTTTCAAGTAAGTTATCCTAATTTCATTTATTTAAGATATTTGCCTATTTATTGTAAGATATTTATTTATACAAATATCTTAGAATATTCCACCCAAAATACCACTTAGGGCCGGGCACCCCTAAACCCTAAAGGGCCGGCCCACTTCCTCTTCCTCTCCTATAAAAACTCCATTTATCTCCAAAATTCAATAAGCTTTAGCTACCCCTAAAGAGGTTTTTTTTCTTCCCACAAACACTTAAACACTTTCTTTTTAGAATTTTAACTTTGGCATCAGAGATTCTTCAGCCAAAGCCCCTCATCCTCATTCATCGTGAGTGCGTGAGGCCTTTGGCCTTAATCTTTGGTGTTATTATTTTGCAGGTGCAGATTCGTCAATCCAGGAAATGCGGAAATTTGCATCCACGGATTAGTGCTTCATTGAGAGCTTTGATTCAAAGGATCGGAGAAGATTATCACTTTTAACTTCCTCGTTTGTAGATCCACGACTACGATGGCAGGAAATTCAGAAACTACAACCAATGAGACCTCATACATTGAAGGATATAGACCAACCGATAGAGATCGCGACATGGTTCTACGTCGTTGCTCATCGAGGCTTACCACGGCAAAGATTGCACTTTTGCCACCACAAGGTACTGGTGGCAGTCACCGCAGTAGTGGCCCATGAGGCAGCCTTCACTCAACGCGAGAAAGCCTTAGGGCAGGAGGTCTACAGTGCAAATAGCCAGCAAGCGTAGATCCAACCAGCTGCTCACATTTAGCAGCAGCCTTTGTCCTCTGCCACTTTCAATTGGATGTGAACTGCCTAGATCGAGGCAGCCTAAGCCGCTTCAACCGAGGTGACCCAGCGCCCATGCACCCGACCTGCTTCTGTAGCCCTCCAGATGGTCAAGCATGATCCCAGACTAGTTCAACCAGCCCAGATCCAGATCATGATCCCAAGGTCGATGGAAGAACCAATGGTATTTTCACCCTACCCTATTATAGATCAAACCTACCATAGCTTAAGCTTTGCATCCGGAGTCCATTACACTTCCATAACTCAAGCAAGCGTCTACCATCTAAGCTCTTTCACTCGAAATGGCGAACAACACCTA